GCTCGTAACAAGGCTAATAAAGTACTTGGGTTCATACAAAGGAGTGTTAGTCACAAGACTAGCGAGGTCATCCTAAAACTGTATCTTGCTCTTGTGAGACCTCACCTGGATTACGCAGTTCAGTTCTGGTCACCGTATTACAGAATGGATATAGAATCCTTGGAAAGAATTCAGAGGAGAATGACAAGACTAATCCCGGGCATTAGGAACCTTGAGTACAGAGACAGGTTAAAGCATCTTAATTTGCACTTCCTCGAGAGACGTAGAGCGAGGGGCGACCTGATAGAGGTGTATATATGGAAGTCGGAACTAAACAAAGGGGACATTACAAAGGCACTCAAACTATCCAACCAGGAGCGAACTCGTAACAATGGCTTTAAATTAGACAAATTTAGATTTAGGCGCGAAATAGGTAAACACTGGCTTGGTAACAGAGTAGTGGATGAATGGAACGAGTTACCAAATATAATCATTAACTCGAATACGCTGAATAGCTTCAAACATAGGTTGGATGCTTATATGAGCAATAGGGGTTGGGTGTAAATGGGACTGCCCAGTATGGGCCAATAGACCCGCTGCAGTTTCCTCCATTCTTATGTTCTTACCTCAATGCCAGGATTCCCATACTGTACTCAACACTCGACCTCTTGCTCACGTGTGGGAGAGAAGCTTGTTATTGATGAAAATTTTTCTCTGTCTGAAGGCCGCGATTTCCGAGTTATTTTCCGCTTTTGGTTCATCTTGGCTGTGTGAGTCGATGTTTTCGCCAGCGACTCACATTAGGTCCAATTACTGAACCAATCACGACCTGCGGAGTTGAATTTAGAGGCGGAGTTGAGACACAAACATAAGATGCCTCATTGTGTTGTAATTTTGAGGCAAGCTTACACCAATTGACCTCAGAAAACTATTGCAAGGTTTCTTAGTGGTTTGACGCACAAATGGTAGAGTTACTTGTGTTTGCCAAGCCTGTATCGCAAAAAAAAAATAAAAAAAATAAATAATAAATATGAGTTTTATTTATTACGAGTTTTGTTCTATGGTCGAATATTTAATACCTGTGGCTTAGACAAAAACCTAACCTAACCTAACTTAACCTTATATGATCTAATAGTATTGTTTGTAGTTCCTTTACGTCGTGTTAGGTCGAGATCAGGTTAGGTCAGGTCACTTGGTTATGTTATGTTAGGTCAGGTCCCTTTAATACAGGTTAGGTCAATTTAGTTTAGGCTAGGTCAGGTCACTATAGTTTTGGTTTGGTTGTGTTAGGTTATGTTAGGTCACTTTAATATAGGTTAGGTCAGGTCATCCTCGCTGGGTGGGGCCTAACACGTGTCAGGTCAGTCTGTGGTGCAGGGGGTTAGGTCACACGCTGAGGTACAGTACAGTAGGTGGAGTGTCCTCACTACCACCACACATTTCCTTTGTTCACTGATGTAAGTTTACTATTGACTCATTAGTGACGTTTTTAGGTTTATCATCATCATCGTCATTATCGTCATCATTATTATCACCATCATAATCTGTCATCATTATCATCTAGAAAAATCAATCGTCATAAATATTTACTTTTTTTGTGGTAAATTTTAAGATGCGTATTTACACCCCTCTCCTGCTTACCCCTTCCCTCCATATCTCCCCTCTCCTCCCTCTCGCTCCACACCCCTTCCCTCCACACCCTCCCTCTCCCTCCACACCCCTTCCTTCCACACCCCCTCCACACCCTCCCTCTCCCTCCACACCCTTCCTGTCCCTCCCTCTCGCTCCACCCCCTCCCTCCACATCTCACCCCCTCCTCCATCTCATCCCTCCACATCTCCACCCCCTCCTCCCACATCTCCACCTCCTCCCCCACCCCTCCCTCACTACGCCTCATCCACAAGGCTAGTTTCTGCTAACACGTATAAACACACCTGACAGGAACACACACGAGACCACTAACTCCCCCCTCCTTCTCTCACCTGTCCCTCCTCCTCCTCTCACCCCTTCCTCCTCCTCTCCCCCTCACTCCTCTTACCCCCTTCTTCTCACCTCCCCCCGTCTCCTCACACCTGTCCCTCCTCCTCCCCCCCCTCCTTCTCTCACCTGTCCCTCCTCCTCCTCCTCTCACCCTCCTTCTCTCACCTACCCCACCCCCCTCGTCTCCTCCACACCTGTCCCTCCTCTCCACCCCCTCCTCTCCTCCACCCCCCTCCTCCTCTCACCCCTCCTCCTCTCCTCCCCACCCCCTCGTCTCTCCACACCTGTCCCTCCTCCTCCTCTCACCCCCTCCTCCTCTCACCTACCCCACCCCTTGTCCTCCTCACATCTGTCCCTCCTCCTCCTCTTACCCCCTTCTTCTCTCACCTCCCCGTCTCCTCACACCTGTCCCGCATGAGCCAGTTGATGAAGAGAATAAAAAATGATCACCTGAAGAATATGCACCCCAGTTTATTTCACCTGAAGATTAACTAAACCAACCCAACCAAATAGTGTTAGGTTATGGTTATGGTTAGATTAGGTTAATCATCAAATAAGATAAGCTGGGGGGAGGGGGGTTGCAGATTATTAAGGTCATTTGGATTAAGAGAGAAGTAAAGGGCGTATCGAGATTACATTACGGCATAACGGAGGGAGGGAGGGTGGGAGGGTGTGCTTGACCTTGACTCGTAATGCAGAGTGTGGAAGAGACATTTGGTATTTAGTAAGATGGTGAGTGGTGGTCTGGTGGTGGTGGTGGCATCAGTGTTGAGGGTAGTGTTGTGTGGTGGTGACTCGTGTTAGTAGTGTGGTGTTGTGGTGGTGTGTGGTGACTCGTGTTAGTAGTGTGGTGTTGTGTGGGGATGGGGAAAGGTGTGCTATTATAAACTGTGCTATTATATAAGGTGTGCTACTGTAAAGTGTGCTGTTTACTACTACAAGGTGTACTACCACTACTGCTACAACAATACTACTACTACTACAAGTGCTATGAGGTACTATGTGGTTTAATTAGTGAATAATGTTGATAATAAAGGTAAACCAATAGGTGTGTGTGTGTGTGTGTGTGTGTGTGTGTGTGTGGTGAACGTGGTTGTGTGATCCAAAGTATAGAGATGAAAGGCCTTGGATATGATGAGTGCTGATGGTTAGGTTAGGTTATGGTTAGGTTAGGTTAAGTTAGGTCATGGTAGGTTATGGTTAGGTCAGATCAGTTCAACTTAGGCTAGGTTACGGTTAGGTCAGGTCAAGCTAATTTAGGTTAGGTTAGGTTCGACCAAGGTAGGTTAGGTTCGCTTGGAGTACAGGCAGCACCTAGAAAAAGATAGTACAATGTACATCTATTTATCTGGTTTCATTAGTGTGTGTGTGTCTCCAAGTTCAGTTGTAGTAGTAGGCGGGGACACGACCAGTGGCTATAACAGTACCGAGAGAGAGAGATAAGGAGGGGTGTTGGCCGGTGTGCTGCAGTGTTGACCTTGCACAGTGACCCTGGCCTGGGTTCACCTGTATCATGCAACAACATTTATAATCAGTCAAAAAGCTGTGTAACATGCAATAAGCTTATAGAGTGCTGCAAGCTTATGTAGTGGTGCAAGTTTATGTAGTGGTACAAGCTGATGTAGTGGCGCAAGCTTGTAGTGTTGCAAGCTTATGTAGTGTTGCAAGCTTACGTAGTGGTACACGCTTATGTAGGGGTGCAAGCTTATGTGGTGGTACAAGCTGATGTAGTGGTGCAAGCTGTTGTAGTGGTGCAAGCTAATGTAGTATTGCACTCGTTATAAAATACAAAAGTTTCATGAATTTAGTAATTTTCTGAAACAACAATACTGTAGTACTTACACAATACAACCAGCAAGTTTAGTAAACTTTATGGAATTCAACAAGCTTAAAAATACAGCGAACTTTAAAAAACTACAAGCTTTAAAAAATATAACAAGCTTTAACAATACAACAAACTTTAAAACATACAACAAGCTTCCATGATATCAACAGGATTACATTTATCACCTCACAAGAAGAATGACACAATGCAACACGGGTTATGAATATTACCACACAGGAAAGGTGGTGACTTTTATCATCCGGTTGAGGCCGTGGCGTCGTCAGTCCCTGGGATGATAAACAATGCAAGAAAGACGACTTTTTTGTAATTTAATTGTTTCCTGAAAGAATAATTGAGTTTGTATAATGTAGGAGGTAGATTGGCTTTGTTATATTAAGTTATACTAAACGTGTGTGTCGTGTAATAGTAATAATAATAATTAAAGGTTATTGAAAGAGCATAGCAGCCTGAAGGATGAAAATATACAGTTACATAATTGGGGAATGGCTCTCTTGATTGACAAATAATATACAAGTAACATAAGTGATACAAATATGATATATAATAACTAGGTGGGGAGAAGGTCATACTACAGGGCATTTCAACATAGTGACAGTACAAAAAGGTAAGATTGACTGGGAGTGAACACACTGGTTGATTACGAGTTGTTGATAATTTTTACAATGGTTGGGACTGGGCTGTTCTTATAGCGATCAGTTCCTGCTCGTATGGGCTGGATGCGGTTGTGGTGTCGAACAGCAATTAGTGAAAGGGGGATCTCGGGTGGAAGCATGAATGTGCCGTGTCTCTCTCTCTTGGTTTAAGCTCTATCTCCCTCCTCGTGACTACAGTAATTAACGTGTACCAGGTGTAAAAATATCAAGTTGTAATTACTCGTATCATCGTGTACTGTTGTGTCAAGAGTATTATTACCATTGATTTGATATGGTATTTTCTTTATTAATTTATTTATTTGTTTGTTTGTTGTTTTATTTGAATTGTGATTTAAAATAGTTTGTTTTTGTAAGTAGGCAAGTGTGGATAAGTGCAGAGATCATTAATATAAGTAGGAGGGACAGTAAAGATAAATAATAGTTAATATATTGTAAGTAGGATAATGATGATAAGTGTGGAGTTTTATTATTGTAAGAAGGACACAGATAATAAGTTGTTGTTTTTTATTAATTGGTTTCATTGTTTTTGTCTCTCCCAACAGCTGATCACTCACCTACATGATGTGGTGTTGCGGCGGGACGAGGCGGGTAACCCCATAGAGACGAAACTCCACCAACTCTCTACTGACCTACACACTGTCATCACCAACTACCTCCAGGTCAGTCACTCTCCCTCCCCTCTACCCCTACCTCCCTCAACCACTCCCCCTACCTCTCTCAATCACTCCCCTCACTCCCCCTACCTCCCTCAACCACTCCCCTCACTCCCCCTACCTCCCTCAACCACTCCCCTCCCTCCCTCAACCACTCCCCTCACTCCCCTCACTCCCCTCACTCCCCTCCCCTCCCCTCAGTTAGTTAAGACCTAATTATCAATAAGATACCCTGGAACAATTCAAATGATCGTTGTTAGTCCTGATGTTATAATTAGCTAACTAGTTTTTTTTATTGACAAACCTAAATGAAAATTGTGGTTAGTTTTGAAATTATTGATATATTGGATAATTTTTTGTTTTAAATTAACCAAGTCTAATTGTGTTTTAAAATGGTAATTGTTGATTATGTACTGTACTGTATCAAGATCTATTACAGGTACAGTGCAAGGGAATAATGCTGTTTTATTTATTGATTTATTTACCACGTCCACAGGATACAGTCGAGAGTATGGTTCGGTCAGCCCAGGATAAGTGTCCCAACGTGCTGAGTGAAGAGAAGGTGGTGAACGATGTGAGGGCCGCCTGCCTCGCCAAGTCACAGGTGTGTGTGTGGGTGTGTCTGTGTGTGTGTGTGTGTGTGTGTGTGTGTGTGTGTGTGTGTGTGTGTGTGTGTGTGTGTGTGTGTGTGTGTGTGTGTGTGTGTGGGTGTGTGTGTGTGTGTGTGTGTCCTCACACATTAATCTTCCCCTTCTTCTTGCTATTCCTTCTTCCTTCCTTAGTCTTCTCTCCACACTTCTCTTTCTCCTACTCCTGTTCTTCCTCCTCCTCTGTTGTCCTCCTCTTCCTCGTATTCTCTCCCATTCCCAAATATTCCATTATTACATGTGTCTATGGTCATGGAACAGGTCCAAAACTCCCTTCATTTTACCTGTCCATCACAAGTTCACCCACCCTACCCAACAGCAACCCATTAACCCCAACCCCGCCACTAACCCATTAGCCTCCACCCCACCCCAACCCCACTCAACCCTCACCCCACCCACCCCACTCACCCAACCCAACCTCCAGCCCAAACCTAATTATGGGTGTGTTTCTAAATCTTTCAATAACCAGTTAAGTATCTTCTTGATCTTGACATTTACAGAATAATTATTTTTTTCTCTATTTTTTTTTTTTTTGTCCTAAGCCAGACTTTAGATGACCCCCGAGTAGCATTTATTGTCGTGGTCTTGTCTCTGATACATGTACGTAGCTGTTTTTTGTTGGGTGGTGAAATATGTACATCCATGCAGAAGGTTGACAGGTTAAACTCTTGCATTTGCTGTTTAGGGAATTTGTCATTTGCTGTATTGAACTCTGGTATTAAGTGTTCATACGGGATCTGTTTTATATATTTTTTATTTTATTTATTTTTTTTTTTGGTTGTTTAGCTAATGTGTGTGCGTGTGTGTGTGTTTCCATTGTTGTATTATGATAGTGTTGGTGATTCAAACTCTCCTTCATGAAGCAGTAATCTTGAAGTGATCTTTGTGATAATCTGAAAACAATGGCACAGTGTAGTATGTATATTCAGTAACGATTTTTAGTATCCCATGATGATTAGTTGAGGTATGCTGTTTTACTCATGTCTGTCTATAAGTGTGGCCTGTGTATCATATGTCCACTTTGTGTTATCAAGACCTTTCTCAATGTATTTATGAGTCAGGACATCTGTTGTATGGTGAGTGTTTTGTTGTGTAGGGAGCCTTATGGAGATATTTAGTTGATTATTATGGGAATTACCTTTAGTTGGAGTTGAGGAGGGACACCACATGTATAGTCCTCTTCACTAGTGTGTTTGCAGGGTTTCGTCATATAAGCATTCCACAAATCATTACATTGAGATATTTGTTTTAATGTTGTTTTACTTTCGAAGTAGTATGTTTACTATTGTGAGTTTCCTTCTGTCGAATGTAAACAGACACAGGGCTGCCACACTGCACAAAACCTGACGAGCCCCTGTAAACCCACTAGTGAAGGGGACTGTACATCACTCACATTCTACTAGTGTCCTAAACCTGTCAATCTCACCTCTTATAATGAACATCCAAGGGAATATTTTGGGTACACTAGGATCTCCCGTCCATAAACTAATGTCGTTGTCGTTCTCCAGCTTTCGTACGATCTCGTGGAATCAGCCATCGTGGAACAAGCAGGGTCGGTCATCTTGAACAAGGTCAACGAAGTCAACCTGGCCATCGCGTCAACCGTGTCCGACCGTGTCATTGATGAAGTTGTAGAGTCACTATCCAAGACTTGTAAAAACTTGGTGAGTGTTGTGTTCGTACAGTGTGTTGACAGGCACCCCACACACAACCCTCTACAGTACAGGGTGTTCATAAATCATCTGGCCCATTTCTTAACTAAATACTAAATTGTGTGAAAAATATTATAAATAGAACAAACCAGATTTATTAGATATGACAAATTTTTTCTTCTATAGTCAGGCATTTCACATTTGCACTGTCTCTTGTATAATATATTTGAGGTTATAACAGATTTAAAATGGGTTAGAGAATTTATAAACAAACAGTATTTTAATTGCCTCATGACAGACAGACAGTATTTTAATTGCCTCATGACAGACAGACAGTATTTTAATTGCCTCATGACAGACAGACAGTATTTTAATCGCCTCATGACAGACAGACAGTATTTTCATCGCCTCATGACAGACAGACAGTATTTTAATCGCCTCATGACAGACAGACAGTATTTTCATCGCCTCATGACAGACAGACAGTATTTTAATCGCCTCATGACAGACAGATATTGTTGTCTATTTCAGAGTTGGATCAGATGTAGCGTTTGGCAGACGATCGTTTGTGCCTTCATATAACTTATATTTTTAACTGCATCAGCTAGCTCTATGGCTGTGAACCCAGACTTAATCACCCATCGGTAAAAGTGTTTTAACGAGGTCATACTGACGCAAGAACCTCAGTTGTAAATACAGTATGTTGTTGTTGTAGACTTGAAGGTGTCCAACAACAGCTAATTAACAATGAGTCATGTTAATAGATAAAGAATTTAACAAAACATCAATACCTGTGTTACTCCTCCATTGAATATGTCTGTGATGATTGGTTGTGTTTTAACAATACTGTACATAGTCTGAGTTTATCACTGGCCATCTGTCTCCCAAATATTTTGTATGATTTGCCATTTATTCCCATTATTTCTCATAGTGGCCATTATTTCCCATAGTGGCCATTATCTCCCATAGTGGCCATTATTTCCCATAGTGGCCATTATTTCCCATAGTGGCCATTATTTCCCATAGTGGCCATTATTTCCCATAGTGGCCATTATTTCCCATAGTGGCCATTATCTCCCATATATTTTCAATGGTCAATATTTTGTTATTGTTAATTTTATATTTTGTGATCAATAATTTATTTTTCTTGAATGTGTTCTTACATGCAGCAAAATTTGGTAAGTTGTTATATGCCATTTTAAGCTTAATTGTGGCCACTGGAAGCTTAAGTATAGCTGTTACATTAGGCTGAGTTATAGCCACTGGAAGCCCAATTATAGCCAATACATTAAGCTTAATTATAGTCACTAGAAGCTTGGTTATAGCCACTACTGGAAGCTGAAGTATATTTACTATCTGGAAGCTTAAGTATAGCCACTAGAAGCTTAATTGTAGCCACTATTGAAAGCTTAATTATAATTAATACTGGAATCTTAATTATAGTCATTACTTTAAGCTTAATTATAATCAATATTGGAAGCTTAATTATAGTCATCACTTTAAGCTTATTTATACTTATTACTTTAAGCTTAATTATAATAAAAAATGGAAGTTTCATTATAGTCATTACTTTAGGCTTAATTATAGTCATTAATTTAAGCTTAATTATAATCAATATTGGAAGCTTAATTATAGTCATTACTTTAAGTTTAATTATAGTCATTACTTTAAGCTCAATTATAAGCAAAACTGGAAGCATAATTATAGTCATTACTTTAAGCTTAATTATAATCAAAGCTGGAAGTTTAATTATAGTCATTACTTTAAGCTTAATTATAATCACTACTGGAAGCTTAATTATAGTCATTACTTTAAGTTTAATTATGGTCAATACTGGAAGCTTAATCATAGTTAATACTGGAAGCTTAATTTCAGTCATAACTTTAAGCTTAATTAAAACCACTGAAAGCTTAATTTTGTGCCACTGGAATGTGAATTAGAGCTTAAAGGTGAATTAAAGATTAAATTATAGACATTTTAAGCTGAAATGTAGACATTTTGAAATGAAATGTTACTTCAAGTTTAATTCTAGGCTTTAAATTTAATTATTGGCACTAAATTATAAGCACTGGAAGCTTGATTCAAGACCCTATTTATAATTATTTTCATTATGCTGAAATCCAAGCCTTTTTTAATTGAATTATTAGCTCAGCCACATGAATCATAGCTAAATTCAAACTTAAAGCTGCATCAGAAGCTTTTTTTAGCAGCGTTATAGATTATAAGTTGATTTATAACTTTTTAATAGAAATATGATTTTTTTACTAATTGTAGGCACTTCAAGCTGAATTATATGCACTACAAGCTGAGTAATAAGCTTTTTAAAGAGACCTACTGGCACCAGGCTTAAAACTGAAATGACCAGGAATTCGCCATTGGCCACGTTAAGCTGCTTTCGATAAACTTTTTTCATTGTTTACGTACACACTGGGTCAATGTGTATGTTGTTTACGTACACACTGGGTCACTGTGTACGTTTAGGATGATATTTCTGAATGAATATCTACCTACAATATCTACTTGGTATCTATATTTCTATCTGCAGTATCTATTTATTTCTTATCTATCTCCAGTATCTATGTCTATGTATAGTATTCATCTATCTATCTCTCTCTTATGCCCCCATTCCCTTCTCACAGCAATCTGGTGAAGGCCCTCGCAAGAGAGCCTCAACAGGTACAGAGATGGGCGTCCGTGAGCGAGGCAGCAGCGAGTCATCCTCCCGCAGCGAACGTTCAGACACAGTGAGTCAGGGCGACGACACAACCAGTCAGAAATCAGATCCGTCGCCTTTGGTAAGTTCGTCCTTTGTCTCCGGGCCTGTTGTTGTTAGTTTGAAGATATGGGAGTTTTATGTTTTGTGATTTTGGAACTAAAATTTGGTGCAGGCGTCCAGGTTTGGATTTTAGAAGCGTTTTAGAGTGTTTTTACTTATTTATTTACCTTTCACCTCTTTATCAGTTTACTATCCAAACAAACAATTGGTCTGTCCTTTGTTGTCATATGACCTTTATTATCCATTATTATTACAGGAGGAAACTTGCCACATAGGGTAGTCACTTATTACATCTGTCCTGTGCTGAGGATTGAACCCAGGACACAGTACAGTATAGTAATGAGAGATACTTGGTACTGTAGTGTCTTTCAGTGTAAATATGAGTTGGGAAATAATTTAGTGTCAGGTAAATTATTATACTGTAGTGTATTCATGATTGTACTAATATTTCAAGGCAGACAAAATGGGATACACTGCATTCAAAATTTGATGTAAAATGTGAAAATTAATTAACTTGGATGTTGCCAACTTGAAATGAAACCTTTTTTGTACAGCATGATGGTATTAAAGACAAAATAAGAGTCACAAATGGTATAAATAAGTAGAGGTACTTGGCAGGTGTATAAGGCCATCTTTTTCCTATGGGTACCTCATTAGTGTATTTTACAACCGTTGGAACAAATTACCTGGATGACATCACGAAGACTCCATATTGATAAGTCAGTCACACCTCAAACTCTAAATTCAAAAACCAACCTTGGACGCCCACCTTTTGAAATAATACGTTCATCATCTATATATTATTTAGATAAACCCTTATTATTATTTTTGGCTTGAGTTATAGTATTTAAGTAGCTTTTACAGGATATAGACTATAGCCTTCTGGTATATTTTAGATTCTCAAGAGCCAGTCATTAGTTTTTTCTCCTTGTCTCTCTCATAGTGTATTATAATGCTTATTAAATTTTATGTATTTATTATTTTACATAATTTCCATTTGAGTTAATTTATGTCAAGTGTAAACATCATCTGAGATAAGTTGTGGATTTTGTTCAGATGTCACAGGGTAGTCGGGTTTTGTCAGGTACTGTACTCACTCCCAACTGTATTTTCACCCCAACTGTATTTTCACCCCAACTGTATTTTCTGTTGTAAGCCGGACTATGAATGAACCAGCTTTTGTTGATATATCCATCTTATCTTATCTCGGGTTACAATATGTGTACAGTATGGGATGAATGAGGGAGTTCCAGAAGCCTCAGAGACAGGAGAGGGGATATTGTAGAAGAGACAGGCACATGGCAGTTCTAGAAGATGGTTAAGAAAAAATGGCTGAGACGACAGTTAGAAATCCTCCTCGTTGGCATAGTTGTATTTGATGAGCTCTGGATGAGAAATGAAAGAGAGAATGAGAAAAAGAGAGAGAGAGAATGAGAAGGAAAGAGATAGAGAGAAAATGAGAGTGAGTATGAGAGAGGAGAAGGAAAGAATAGAGAAAATGACATGAGATATATAGAGTATGAGAAAGAGAGAGAATGAGAGAGAAAGAAAAAGAGAGAAAATGAGAGTGAGTATGAGAGAGAGAATGAGAAAGAAAGAGATAGAGAGAAAATGACTCCATTAAAGTTTTCCAATCTTGAACTAACTATTGTATAAAGTCATAATAGACACATCTCGACCCACTTTCTCACCTACCTTGTTTTCACCGGAAGCTGTCTTATATACCCTTAACTAACTGACTCACTCACTCACTCACAGTACACATCAAGTGAGTCATAAGCTTAGTTGAAATCTTGTCAAATTTATGTCAGTGAGAAATGTTTACACTTGATAATATGGAATGTCGACTGTACCTGTCTATGTGACCTGATGACATGAGTGCTTGTAGATCTGCTGATGTCACAAGAAGTAAAGTAATTTATAAATATGAATAACAAGATTAATCTGTGCTGAAATGTGGTGAATGAGGAATGAACGCTGCTAGTTAATTTTCCTTTTGTTTCAGTATCGTGGAGCTTTGTGTTTTGAATTGTTGATGCATGACTAGGGTATTTTGCTCATTTGAATTCATTTTTATTTCCAAGTTTATGAATACGGTAGTGAATAATTGGACCACCTGAAGAATCTCCACCCCAGCTTATTTGCAACAAAGATTAAACCACCTGAATGCTAACCTAACCCAGTCTAACCTATCTTAATCCCCCCCCCCCCCATATCTTCCCCCAAAATAACATTAGGTTGGTTAATCTTTGGGTGAAATAGTTAGGGTGGAGATTCTTCATGTGATCTGCATAATGTTTGGTTAAGTTCAATACATTTGCTTTCATTATCATCTTAGGGATTTCATTCATGGCTCTTATTAACTACTTTATATGATCAACTCTATTATGTTAAAAAGATAGATTTAGAAATTTGATTAACATATTAGAAACAATTTGGATCATTGGAAAATTAGGTCCCGTGGCTTATTTTACACGATGATTAAACACTCTGGGTGGGTGTAGGGGGGGTTAGGTTAGATTATGTCATAGGTATGTTAAGTTATATTATATTTGGTTAGCACTAGGTTAGGTTAGGATAGGATTAGGGTCAGTAGTGTTAAGGGGAAATATTATTATCAGTTGGTTAGGTTAGGGTCAGTAGTGTTAAGGAGAAATATCAGTTGGTTGTGCCTTTAGAGGAGTGAGTGAGGAGTTGTCGTGGCTGTGGTGGTGGAGGTGGCGTGCTTACCTGTATTCTGAGATATTGATAAAAGGATAGACGTAGAGAAGATAAAAAGTGCAAGCACAGTAATGCAGTACAGTACATGATTCTGAAATTGCATGTACTTTATAGATTTGGCTTAAAAGCACAGATACAGTAGAGTACTGTAATATTCTGAGTTATAAGCACAAGCACAGAATTCAGTTGAAGAGTACAGGATCTGATAAAAACTATTTACATCTGTCTGTTCAATACTGTAGTGTTGCATTGATTCAAGGACATTTCATCTCCTCACAATTTGTCACCAGTTAGATTTAAACATAACATAACCTGACCATAGCTTCATCGCCTCCAAAATAAAGACATTATAATATAAATTTAATAAATATAAAACAGTTTTCAATAAACCTGCAACGAATTTTCCGGTGATGGAATGTCCGACGCCCACCTGTGGCATTATGTCCCTGTCTGGTGTTTTGGTATTCCTAACCTTTCCCTCTCATTTTCTCTTCTCCGCTGACTCACAGAAATTGGAATATTTGAACCTCGTAAGTACATACATGTGTTGTCCTCGGTTTGCTTGCTGTGTGCCCATTATTGTACCCTGACGCTGCCATCTAGTAGGTGCTTTTCTTACTAACTCGTTACATTCTTTTACGAATTATTTAATCTTGCTGAATTAAGTGTGAGTTTGTAGGAGACTCCTGTTGAAAATGGAGGTGGTGTGGATTATGAAGTAAGCAGTAGTGTTAGGTTATAATAATAGTATTAGTCTAGGCCGGCATAAAACTAGTCAGTAAACATCTGGAGCGGTGATTCTCTTAAGTTCATAAAAAGTTAGATTTTTCCCTCGAATTAGAGGTGTCAGAAATTATCTGACTGTCTCACCTAAGCCACAACCTAGAGATGGAGGCCAAGTGATGATCATGATGTAGTGGGACTCTCCCATAGCTACAGGTGATGTGTTGTCTTAGGTCTACTGAAGGGAAGTGATATAACAGATGAAGTTATGAGAATGTTGGCTCAGACCTGCTGATGTTGTAACACCTGCACATCACCTCTAACGATGGGAAGCAGTGTAACAATATCTGAATTATATGTTTTAGATAGTGTGTGCGGTAGCTGAGTGGATACAGCTCTTATCTTGCTTTAAGGGTCGATGGTTCAATCCTGGGCTACCCCTAATCCACCCAGCTGGAAATGGGTTCCTATATTTACATTTGTGGAAGTGGAGTGAAGGTGGTTGAGTGCAGTGCTGGTCATGCTGCCGCCTTTTGTACCAAAGGCTTAGTGTAGTACAGTGTGTTATATCCTCACTCCCTAATGGTCCATTGAAGCCCGTAGGAGCCACCTTTACTGGCATATTTTAGAGAGTATAGAATAATGGTCAGTATAAGTTGATTCATCTAATGTTTGGTATCTGACGGAGGGTTTAGTTGGTAAGAGAATGGACAAGAGGCCATTTAATGAATATGCTACTTGACAAAGACATCATAATGCTGTTCTTATCTTGGCTGTCTGCTGTGAGCCTAGTGAGTACAATAACCACATTTAATGCTTCTGTGTGTGTGTGTTGTTGTTCTTATACACTATTTTGGTAACAGGAAAAAGCTTACAAGAAATGACAAGATCTTTCAAGTTTCTGCATTATTTATTATCTTGAGCTAATAGAATTGCATGGTGATATCTGATAAACTGTTCACTCTTTATCTGCATGAAGAGCACAGCTTTGTATACATTTGCAGCTTTCTTTCTAAGACTGTCTTGTTTAAAACTACAGTATCTTGTATAAAACTGTCTTGTTTAAAACTACAGTATCTTGTATAAGACTGTCTTGTTTAAAACTACAGTATCTTGTGTAAGACTGTCTTGTTTAAAACTACAGTATCTTGTATAAGACTGTCTTGTTTAAAACTACAGTATCTTGTGTAAGACTGTCTTGTTTAAAACTACAGTATCTTGTGTAAGACTGTCTTGTTTAAAACTATCTTGTGTAAGACTGTCTTATTTAAAACTATCTTGTGTAAGACTGTCTTATTTAAAACTATCTTGTTTAATACTGTCTTATTTAAAACTATCTTGTGTAAGACTGTCTTATTTAAAACTATCTTGTTTAATACTGTCTTATTTAAAACTATCTTGTGTAAGACTGTCTTATTTAAAACTGTCTTGTATAAAACTTTCATATTTAAATATTTCATCATTCTTTAAGCTTTGAGTTTGTGTTGATAATATAAACTGTATATCCAGGTTGTTCCAACATTTGATTCTTATTTACTGTACGTACTGTACTGTGTGGGAACTACATGTTATAAACTTTTGGTCTTAACCACTGTGTCTCAGACCATTATATTTAATCTTTGAAGAACTTGCTGGTCATGAATAAAACAAATGTTACTGGCAGTAAAGTGCATGAACAGTGCTTCACTTACTGGTGATATTTTATTATTATTTTTTTCTTAATATTTATTATCACCTTTTCCAGGCCACCCCACAACTTGCCTCAAAACGGAAGAGTCTTCATGGCAGAAAGCTGCGTCCTCAGAGCGTTGTCGGTAAGGAGACTTAGAGAAACTTGCCAATTTGCATAACCTCTTCATAACTACTGTACCTGTGGCTTGCCTTTATTAGTTGTTTAAGCACGTTGATAAAGTCCTGCTTTACTAATTAATATTTTCTAAAAGTACAAAGTTCTTAGTGCATTTAAAAACATAATGACAATGACTTGTGCTTACTATTGCCTCTGCATGATGGTGCTCAGCCATGATCTTGCTTAACTACTGCATGCCTCACTTTAATCATAATGCCTCTTTTGCAGTTTAATAAATAAATTAGATTTTTTAAATTCTTAACCTTTATTACTGTGTTGTTCATCAGAGCTTGTTGATGGTACAGTAGCATGAGCCTAACTTGATTGTGTGTTAACCTGCATGTCTTAGTCTCCACTGCTCATGTCCTTCCAGATTATGCAGAAGCTCAAGCTGCCTTAAAACAAGCTTTGGTCAATCGTCATAGTGCTGAGAATTTACTAAGAGAGGGGGTTAGTTGTGATAGTATAGATATCATGGAACTATCTTCGGAGAGCCTTGAGATGGAGGAGAGTGAGTGGTGGATTAAGGACGTGGACGTAATCTTGCCTATCCCTCGCTCGTCACCACAAGTGTTCTGTAGGACGTCTCAGGATGTGCAGCAGAACTACCTTACAGCGGAGGGTAGGTTCTGCCTTCCTCAGAATGAGAAATGTAAATAAACTTTAAATTGGAGAGACACTGTACTGTATATATTGTTAGTTTGATTTGTGGGGTTTTGTTTGATGGATATTAGATATTAACCCTTAATTGGCAGCTAAAAAGCCCTCATCACCCCCACACGACCATCATATGCACAAAAATGGAATGCAAGGAATGTGAAACACCCATAGATGATGGCTGCCATTTAAGGGTTAAATTCCAAAACTTGACTTCGGATTACAGACTTTTGCCTTGGTTTTATCCTGGATGGTTTGACAACCTTGTGTCTTACTAACAGAAAGAGAGAAAACACAAGACACATTCAGGGTTTGTTTTTTGTACATAATTTTCTCCAGGAAGTAATCATGGTACGATCCCAGACTTGATCTCATACAAGCACTGTCATTGTCTTATACTTCTTCTCTGACCTCACAATTTTTGTGCGTGCGTGCGTGCGTGTGTGTGTGTGTGTGTGTGTGTGTGTGTGTGTGTGTGTGTGAGTGTGTTTGTTCAAGATTCTTCAAACACTGCTGGAGACAGTTGGCAACTCAAGCTGTTTGTTTACTATAATACATAATATTATATAATACAAAACAACAAAGCCCAACCAGTAAATTAAGCAACAGGGAACTAAGTAACGGATCACTTTTACATTTATTCATAATTCTTACGACGTACTATAGTAAACAAACGGCCTTGAGTTGCCAGCTGTCTTCAGCAGTGTTCGAAAAATCTTGAACGAGACTGTAGATACATGGGGGGGAGGGGATGCAAGTATGTGGTGTGCTCGAGTGTGTACGTGCATATGTGCATTGGTGTGTGTGTGTGTGTGTGTGTGTGTGTGTTTGTGTTTGTGTTTGTGTTTGTTCCCAGCTGCTGTGCAGGAAAGGGCCTGAGGAAATGAATAGACCAACAAGTCTTTCCTTCACCAAACGTTTGTCAGTTTTGGGATCAAATGATCAGAAATCAAGATTTCTACAGATGTACAGTATTGTGTGTCGTCTGTATTACTGTATATACCTGTACTTCTTTTCTCAACTCATCTGTCTCATCTTTCAATATGCCTGGGTGGGTTAGGATGGGCTTGGTCAGGTGAGGGTGGGTCAGTTTAAGATAGGTCAGGGTGGGTTGTGTTGGGTTAGACTTAGAAAATACAAAGTACAGCTACTCCTCGGCTTATGACATACTCGACCTTTGACCACCCAGACATACGACCGCCTCAGTCGTACCAAAATTTTGTCAAATTACGTATTTTTGAGTTCTCAACGTGAGTGATTGCACTGTGTACTGACAAAATTTTTGTTTGTAATTCACTTTAATATGGCTGGCATGCTTAAAAGTGAGAGTTTTTTGGTGCTGAAAAGAAAAAGAGACACCCATTTTAGATTTTCTATGTATTATTTAAGCATTTTCGGCTTACGACCTGGATTTGGGTCCCTAACCCCGTCGTAAGTCGAGGAGCAGCTGTATACCATTACTGTAAATATATACGTAGAAAATATACAAATTACTGTACAGTTTATACCGTTGTATACATTCATGTTGTTCTCAGATGAGGTGAGTCTTGGTAGATGTGCCAGAAAAAAAATTAACAGTATTGTATTTTAAAAACGGGGGTTAATCAGTATACTGTGGTGAATAGATGACGTTCTACCGTACCAGTATATTATGTTACGGGGGAGCTTGGGTTTGTAGTTGATCCTGTACTTTTGTGTTGTGACTCGTGGGAGATTCATTATATTATTGAGTGGTTCCTTTTGTCTAATATATTTCTTCTCAACTATATTGCTTTAAATGAAATGAGCAGCTGCTTTAGTTATTCAGTATTATAGGCTGTAAAAGTGTCTTGTCGTACAGTATTCACATTATCACCGGGCTGAGTAACTGAAATATTTTTAAACCTTTCGTAGCAATGACTTTATAAACAGGTCATTGATGTGTTAACAAGTTGGACCTCTAGTAAAGATGACCAATTGACCGACATTTTTGAGTTTGCTCTTGCTTATGGTGTTGTAGAGTTGAGCAAGACTTCCTTTTTTGACTGCTTCCCCTACCACCCAAAAAAAGTTTCCATGTCTAGGTATTTTAGTGAGAATTGTTTATATATGTACAGCAGCCTTGAGTTGTGGTTGTGTAATTTTAGATCTTTTAGTTTGTTTTATTTTGGGTGAGTCAGAGAAGGAAGTCTTTTTCAGAGTAGTGGTAAGACGGTGATGGCTTGATGTGCATGACTTAAATTATTTATTTTTCTAGAGGTTGGGGAGGGGTGGTTGGTGTGCTCTCAGTAGTGTAGTGTGTTGTTGGGTTGATGATGCATGTATAGTATGTTTTCAGGAGATCTAATTGGCTGGATTGACGTAGACAAGAGTGAGTCCATTACTGCCACGCAGTCTATGTCTGGTTCTCACAAGGAGATGGGTATGATTATATACCTTCTGTTATTTGCTGTATATCTTGATTATGTCACACATTTGATTACTTTCTTTCATCACCACATCTTTATCTTGTGTAATTTGTAAAGGCTTCAGTGCTTATCAAAGTAATTTAGTGCCATTATGGAGTATTATTTACTGCTTCTTGAAAAATAAGGACGAATTAATGTTAACTTTATGGTATGAAGTGTTGAGGTGTGTTTTCTAAGACATCAGTTATATTCTATCATGAAGAAATCGAGAAGATTGAAGAACTTAAATAATAAAGTTCAATTAATAAAGAAAAAACCTAATATTTTTGACGGTGCCTTTACAGCCGAGTCATTAGACAGTGTCTCCGAGTTGCCGAGCAGCTGCGGCCAACTTCAGCACCTGGGTAAGGCCCGACCACGAAGAGTGAAGACTCGTGCTCCAACGCGACCCATGGGCCGTGCAGATCTAGTCGAAGAAGACCACGACATATCTGAAGGTGTTGACACATTCTTCAGGCCCGGATCTTCTACACCCACAACACCTCTCATCTCTCCTGACTCAGAGAACAGGTTTGTTCTCTACTACACTACCTCTACTTATTATTTTTTGCTTTTTTTTTTTACGGGGATTATCCCACCCGGGCACAGGTCACTGACCCACATTGGTGCGAAAATGTAATAATAATATTAATATTAATACAGTAATAATAATAATAATAATAATAATAATAATTAGTTCATAGTAAATAAAATTTTTAATAACAAAATTAAAATTAAATAATAACAATAATAATAATGACACTGATAATAATAATAATAATAATAATAATAATAATAATAATAATAATAATAATCATGATGATGATGATAATAATGATGATGATAATAATAATAATGATGATGATGAACAATAAAGAAATACAAAAATGAAAAAAAATCAAGAGTGAGAAACAATATATGTACAGTACAGGTTTGTTGTGTTGTCAATAGTAAGAGAAACAATTGAGACCCTGCAATTATGTGTAAATGAGGCAGAAAGTCAGATGAGCAACTTCTCTTGAACATCGGAAGGTTAGGTAAAATCTTTTGTTTTCGTCATGTATTTTATCCTATTTTACACTAAAATATATCACGTTTCAGCAAAACTACTATTTATTTCCGAGAATATATTAATTCAGGCACAGTTAAGATAAAATATAGATGTGATGTAACAGTTTTTTAACTGAAAACGATTCGAAAAACACGTGTACCGTCTAGCTGATACACTAACAGCTGGTGGTGCGTCATGCGTCGTTGTAAACAATAGGAGGTTGAAGTAGATTACTGGGTATTATATTAAGTGTGAAATATCGAAAAGGTTTTTATTACCGGTATTTTTTGTAGATCAATGAGAACTGTGATACCGTATAAGATATGATAAGTTAGCCTGTGCTAAGAACTTCAACATAGACTACTGAAAGCACGTTGTAAGGTAATTTAGCCTATTGTAAGTTGGTGAGCTTCATTTGCTGAAGGAACTGCACAACTTTTCATTACTAATTGGTACATATTTTACGTTTCCATTGTTTACTGGCAGTAAATGGTAGATATTTTTCATGTCTGAAGCTAAAAGTTGCTCCTCGCCCTTCCCATCATGCACGGGTTCAACCTAACAAAACTATTACGCATGTATAGGACGACCCCCAATTTTTTGCCTAAAAATTTGGTCTTAAAAACTCGAACTATACACGAGTATATACGGTATAGCCATTCCTTGTTTCTGTCTGAACAGCCCACGTCTGCTCAAGTACGGATCAACTTCCTCGGTGGAAAGTTCTCCGCACACTGGTGGAGCGAGAACAGGAAGTGAGAGAGGAAGTATCGAGTCACTCACCCGCTCCGACTCCTTAGCTCGCTCGGAGTCTGACGTGACGCGCGACTCTCCCAGACCACGCACCAAGTCCCGAGATACAGAAGAAGAAGATGAGGAGGAGGAAGAAGAACAGAGTATGGAGGAAAAGAGGTAAATTTGGTGAAATTGTTCAGTGTTAAATTTTATGGGAATCTGAATTTTTTTAATTTTATTTTATGGGGAATTTTTACTGTTTTTAAAAATGTTGTACATTCTTAAGAAAATTAAATATTTATAATCCAGCTAAACTTGAATGTAAAGATAAAATTGTATCCTTTCATTAGATTATTAAGATACTGTACTGTTGTTTATGTTTATTTTTGTCTCAACAAACAGCAGTCGCAGTGTTACCAGTCTGATTGGGAAGTTGGCCAGTGAAGGTGTGTTGAAGAGGTCACCTGACATGACCGCCAGGAAGGCCTCAACTTCATCTAACATCAGTTCTATCGAGGGTCAGTCAGAAGGTTTATTTACTATACACTGTTCGTTTTATACAGCATATTGAACATTGTTTCCACAACCTTTATATTTATATGTCTCGCTTTAAGGATTATGCCATATAAAACATTTTCTATCTCATGTGAAGATAAGAGCCGAAGTGAGGAAGATGGAAAGGAAGACTCTCCTCCCAGATCAAAGATGGCAGGGTTACCCAAGATGGGCATTGGTGGCAACATCTTGGCTGAGATGAAGATGATGCAAGAAAAACGAACATCATTCTTACCCAAGGTTGGATGACCACTGTCTCTAGTTGTTTGTATTGTTCAGTGGTGTAGTTACTGAGAACCTCATTATATTGTGAATTACCATAACGGACTTGTATGGTGTTTGTTGCTGTCAGTCTTGGAATACAATACTGATAAACAGAGAAGTCTCATCATTATTATTGTCAGATTAAATCATCAGAATTGTAGGAAGTTACCAGAGGTCAGTCAGATACAGCACTCTATAGTCAGTTACCTCTTTCATTAGCTAAGACTGTTTTACTGTGAAGTGAGTTGGTGTTGATGTACAGATGTTTATATGAAGAGGAAGAGGAGGTACTGACATACACATACACTGATGTACAAGTGTTTACACCAACAGGAAGAAGACAGAGACAGGGATGAAAAGAAAGAGAACCCCTCAAGCAGCCTCCTAGCTGGGGTCAGGCTAAGGTCAACTGGCCTGGCCGACAGCCTCAAGTCCCCCACCAACGGCTTCCCTCGGGGCTCTGGTGGGAACAGATCTCCAAATTGTAACAGGGACTCTTGTATTGACACAACAGGTAGGCAGTTTGTACCAGTGTTGTGTTTGCTTTCATCACTGTGTTTAACCTTCTTGATTTGGGTGGGTGAGTCACGTTTCCTTGTCTATCCTGTGTAGGGAAAGTGACTGCTCCACGAATCTAAAGGCCGTAGTCAGTGATGATTGTTCTGCATATGTCGTAGAAGTTCTGCACATGCTATGATAATATAGTTTGCTTTGTTTGGCTGAATTGCTTGAATCAATGCTTGTGAGATGCACTATTTAGAGTTGGAATGTCACAGTTGAGAGGAGTGGGACTAGCTCACTCTTAAGTTATCACAACCTTAGATATGGAGGAAGTTCATTTATATTGTTTGTAGCATTTTATAAGCAAAAGAATAATATTTAATATAAAACTGCATTTACATTATTGTAGTTGGTTTGTTGATAAAGGTGAAATTGATTTAGTACTGTATGACTAGATGTAGGCTTGAGTCTTATATGTAAATAAATCATGTACAGTTTGTGATGTGTACATGTTGCTAAATATATACAGTCCAGTATTCTGCTTGTGGCACTTCATATATACTACAGTACAGTATATGATATATTAAATTCAGTTTATAGATACCATTACTATTGCTCTGTGCTGACCAGTACAGTAATTACCATTGATTTATTATTTCATAAATTTTTCAGCTTGAATTCAGTTTGTCTTTGCCAATAAATTTTTTTTATTTGCCAGGGAGGGCTTTCAAAATTGCAGAAAATATTACATTTTGCTAATTACTGTAAGTGCCACTTGCTTAAAAAAGTTTGTTATAAACAGTTGTTGAGAAGGTGCTGCCACCAATAGAGAATCATTAGTGTCAGGGTATATTGTCAGCTATGTGCTTGTCAGATCTGTGTCATGGATCAGGGTCAGGACTACCAGAGCTTTGTGGGTTAATTTCTCCCCAAGTCTGCCATTGCGAGAAGGCCTCTATAACTGACTCATATCAGCAACAATATTAAACTAGAAGTGAAGATGTTTTTAAAATTACTCAAAGACTTTAAGATACAAGTTCTCTTCACAGTGTGAGGGGAAAAGTTAACTCCTGAACCTTTGTGAGTCCTGACCTAATATTGTTCATTCAGACTTTGGGTGTTCATGATTTGCTGCATTGAACCATCATAATGCAAAGAAATAACTAGGTAAAAACAGTGTTAAAAAGGGTAAAATTTGTTGCATTGACCCATCTCATGCAGATAATAAGTAGATGACAGAGGAAGAGTTAATTTGTAATATTACCAAGCTGTTTAGAAGGGACACTTTGATAAATAAAATCTTCTGATGTTGTGTTTTTGGTCAGATAGAACATTAGCATTCAGAGAGACAGGATAGCTGGAGTCTAGTTAGTGAACGTAGGTGAGTTATATATCAGGAGGCAACAATAGGCATCTCAGCCGTCGGAAAGGAAAAGAAAATTAAGGCTGAGTCGATACCCGGGAGTTAGGGGTATGCCAAGATCAGTGGGTGTTAACTTGTAGGACTTAAATGACCAGTCTTAGGTTTTTTTTCTTTTTTTTTTCCTTAGCTGTTATTTCTCACATACATATTATTTTTGGGGGCACATTGACATTCTTATCCCAACTTATGATTTTATGAACATTAGCAACAATCAAGGTATTCAAGAACTCCTGTTTCTCACCATTACTGTCTGCTAGTTTTGAAGAACATGGTTTCATTTACATATTTTTAGTATAACATCTTTTTACTGTACTCCGTTCTTCTCACTTACACTTCCCATAACACCAGAGGGGCTACTTACTTAATCAGGTGTGGTAGATAATCATACAGGCAAAAGGCACCTCTGATCTGTCTATTAGTCCTGAGTTATTTGGTCTGGGGGGGAAGGGGTGAAGAATGATTGTTTTGAATATGTACTGAGAATGAATGTGGAAGGTATGAGGAAAAGTGTGTGAGAGGATTTATACAGCACTTGACATTCTGGCACATTCCTGCCACTTTTGTACACTTACATTGTTGCATTGTCTTATACCATTTCCTCCATTTTTCTATGTTTCTTTATTCCTTGATCCACCTTACATAATATGGGAGAGAAGTGAATGTGATAGTTTTATATCTGTTTATGATTTAGTGAGAGACAAATAGGTGAGTCTTCTTGAGAGGATGTTGTACAGTATGTTGATCAGAAAGAATGTGTAGTACATGGCATTTTTTACAGTTGTATACAGAAGGCACAGACAGTTATGAATGAGAGTAAACATAAGTTATGAGTAGTGAAGGAAGGTTGTGGGTAGTGAAGGAAGGTGGAATGATGCCATGATAGTTGATGACTTAGTACATTGAGGCAAAACATTGATTATAGATTGTGATATGTTAGTACAGGTAACAAAAATTAACACATTATAGAGACTTCAGGAGAAATGGTATAATTCATGCTAATATCCTATAACAGAACAATGATATAGAATTAGAGGGGCAGGATTGGTTATAGAATGAAAAGACGGACATTTTGAGATTTTTTGTAGCTTGGATATGTCAAGTTTCTATTTGGGGGAAATGTTGTGTTGGAGGAACTTACAATAGGTCAGTATTTGTAGAGGTGAGGTTAGATTAGATTAGATTAGATTAGATTAGATTAGATTAGATTAGATTAGGTTAGTTTAGGTTAAGATTTTACCCAGGATAGATGGTGTAAATAGTGGCTAGTACTGAGAGAAAAGTATGGGGAAAATAGCCAGGAACTATCAGCCATTTACTCTTGGGTCAGGGCAGTGTATTCAGTAAGCAGCGTTAGATCATCACAACTCATGTATTTGGACATTGATCCTGCAAGCTGCTCTCTCTCTTGTGTGTGCAAAGTGTGACGAGTAAGCTTGTGCGTCATTTGATTGTTTGCGTATGCGTGGGGTTCTTCTCAGGACCGAGCCCGAACACCAAGCCTGTGATCACCGCCCTCAAACCTAAGCCCCCTCCCCCTCTCGCACCCAAACCACGACCCAAGTCTGTCATTGGAGGAGACCGCAGATCAGGTAATGCAGTGGGTCTGTTAACATGTTACGCCCAGAGAGAAACTTTGGAGAACGTAGATAAACTTACTAAACTGTGGTGAAAACTCCTTTATACAAACATTGATTACTGTTTATAGGGTACTAGTAACTTATACACACACACACACTTACACTTACTTTTTTACTGACTTATTGTGTTGATTATTTTTTTTATACGTATCTTTATTTAGAATTTATGAGCCAAAAGTTGCACTAAATTGTCATTTCAACGTTGAATAACTTTAACCAATATAGATAAAGATTCTTAATGTTTGTGTAAAGGAAGTGTACAGTACTTGATTTCTTTTAATTACATCAACATCATCTTGTAAATAATGATGAGATTAATGGTATTTTGCTTGTTTTCTTAACACTTTTTATTTGAGAGAAGTAAGTAAAGTTAATGGTGTTAAATGTGGAGGAATTATTGTTTAACTTTTACTATTGCACTGTTTTATTTGTTTAGTCTTTTGTTTTTAAAGTTGATCTTACAATTGGTTTCTTCTTTGTTAGTGGTCTTGTGGTTAATGAGAAACGAAAATGTTGTTTAGAAGAGAAATATGAAAAATGTTCTTTGGTGTGAGAAGAGAAGGTGCAAAAATAAACCTTTATATCACTAACAAAAAGGAATATCATATGGCTGGTGTTAGCTGGTGGATGATGGTAGAACAAGTAGTAGTAGTAGTAGTAGTAGTAGTAGTAGTGGGAGTAATAGTGGTTGAAGTGGTATTGATGTTTACAAGGTGGTGGCTGTAGCAGTGATCAAAATAATTTATCAAGGGCTGAAAGACCATAGCTGCATTATATTTGTCGAATTACTTATTATTATTAATGTTATTGATTTTTTCATGGATTTTGCATTTTAATATTTTCCAAAGTTTTACGACCCTTGATTGTTATTTTGTGATCGTAGTGTCGATAAGGTGCTACCTGTCTGCATGTGTGTACTGTGGCTAGCTTATACTGATGTAATTTTAAAATGCACGTTGGCTTCTTTGCACTGTTTAAGCCTGGGAACTGTTGCTGCTTTAAGCTGTTGCTTCATTTCAGACAAAGTAAGTAAGAGAAAAGGTTATTACTATGACCAAAATAATGTTCTTTCATCCTCTCATTGATTGTCTTCGTTTGATTGTATTAACTTGGTCGTTTTCTCTTTGTTCATATCATCTTGAAGGTAAAAACACCAAAAGATCTTGTAGCTATAGAGACAAGATTAATGGCTTGTGTTCTGAATACTGTGCTGTATTGGGGGATGCACTTCCTGGCCGGCCTGGAGTGTTGCTAATATAACAATTATTTTTGAGAGATAGAAAGAGAGAGAGAGAGGGAGAGAGAGAAAGAGGAAAGATAAAAGTAGAAGAGAAAAGAGAAAGAGAAACATTGAGTACATAGTATCAAAAACTTAACTGAAAAATACACAAAACTCTCATATAGTACGTACTATCATAAATAACAGATATATTAGACAATACTTCAGATCTACCAGCGAGTAAATCCCCCCCTTTACAGTACAAGGTTGTGGCAAATCAAGTGTTCTCCCAAGCTTAATAGGCCTCAATTCTACCAGGCCAAAATCTAACCTAACCTAACTACTACATGTGCGGCCCTGTAAAAAACTGGGGCTACTTAGGCTTAGTGAGAGGGGGTGGGCCATTTGACCGACCACTGAATATAGAGTCTGTGTGTGGTTTTTGGGTGATCATTTGTATATTGAGTCACCGAGTCTAATATTGTGCTGCTCGTTGGGTAGCCATCATTCACGGAGCTGTATTGTGAAGTTGGATATGATTTCCTTATTTATGTATGTTTTTCATGTTTATACTTACTGCAAAATATTGTAAAGTAATGAGGCAGTATTTCATATCTTAATACTTATTGGTTATTCATATAAACAGAATCTTGTGGTCTGAGAATGATATTAATTTAGCCGTTAAGTTTGTGATTAAATGTAATTGATTCTCGTTGTTTTTGGAATATGTATATCGAGTTAATTTATATAATTGAAAATATGAGTAAAAGTGAATGTTGAAGAATGAAAGATGGAAATTTTGACAAACTTTAAATGGAAAAAGTGGAACATGAGAGTTAAAGGTCAGGTTTGCTGTGAACTTGAAGAGGGAAAAGTTTGATAAGAAAGAGGTTTTAAGATGCATGAAACTTTAAAGAACTGAAGACATACAGGAATCATATAGAGAGTGAAGCTGTGAGGAAAAGACTTTATTGAAGAAGAAGGAAGATTTTATTGTTTGAAAAGAGAGGAAATTAAATGATGAGAGTTGATAACCCAGGGCGTGTCACCCTAACCTAACCAATCAGTTTAATCTCATTCCTAATATATGGGAGTGGAATGTGTGCACTGGTGAGTCAGGAGGCCTTCAGAATATTGACCCACCAGCTTGACACTACCCCATCATAGGCCCATAAGATTCCCCAAGGCTCAATATCCAACCAAAATAGTGGGACTGAAACTTAACTGAAAAAAAAATGTTCATGGGGAGTTTTGAAATAATTGGAAACATTGAAATGGGGGAAGAAAAAAAAAATTAAGTGAAGCTAAAATTATGAAGAAAAAAATATTAGTAAACTAGATCAAATTGATGCTGAATATTTTAAGACAATGTGATCAGATAGTTTGATTTGGGAAGTTGATGACCCAGAAGAGAAGAAAGAATTCATAGCAATTTATTCAAGTACAGTACAGGAAACAAGTGAGAATGGTGATACATGTTGAGTGGAAGGGAGAGGATGAGATATTACTAGGTTGTTAATGAAGGTATAACAATATGCATAAGGAATGATGAATGAATATTGTGGAACATTTCTCTATGATTGAGGAATGGGATTTAGAGGGACTGTTGTTGTGGTTTATATTCTGAAACTGGTTCGAAGTCATCATTGTTTTATTGACTTGATCGTGTAGCGGTTAGTACATTGTGTTGTTAGTATTAAGTATAGTATTAGTACAGATATTAGCACAATTGTTACAGTATGATTCAGTATGATTCATCCACGTCTCTGTATGATGTGTCCTGTAACATATAACCATTGTCTTTAGCCCTTAAATGGTGGCCATCATCAGTGGAAATAAGCAGTAGAAGCAGCAGCCATCATCAGGGGCTAGAGTCGGGTATCACTAGCTGCCAATTAAGGGTTACCAATAATATTTTGTCATTGTCCTGTGTGGATGTAAGAATGTGAACATGTATACAGTGAAGCCTCCATTTAACGGATGCTGTTCTAACGGATGGATGCTTCACCGGAGCTTGTGGTTGGCATTAAGATGTGTGGAATTATAGTTTTAACTGTTTGCTGAGGTAGTTTAGGGTAGAGAGTGTTTGGTGTGGTCGAGGAGCTAGTTTAGTACTATATGTATATAGCTGAGGTTGATCCCAGAAGTGCGGCTGCTATGATATATATATAAGACAAAGCGCTGAAGAGTTTTATACATGTGGACTTTTTCTCATTGATCGCTTATCTTTGTTTTTATCACTTCTTATTGTATACCTGACCTTATGTAACCTAACGAACCTACCCTAACCTAACCTAATGTAAACCTAACGAATCTAACCTAACGTAACCTAACGAACCTAACCTTACCTGACATAACCTAACGAACCTAACCTTACCTGACATAACATAACCTAATCTAACTTTAATCCAATCTTAACCTAACCTAATCAGAACTAATGGACAGTATCCTGACATAACTTAACCTGACTTAATGCAACCTAACGTAACTTATGTAACCTAACCTTACCTAACCTTCTTTCAGACTGTATCTTATAAAAATATATTATATGTTTCATTTCTTTGCTTCAATTAATTATTACTCATTCTTGCTGTATGCTTGTGGCTTCTTGGTTTACTCAACTCTTATGGGCTCAGATTATTTTAACTTTTTATAAGTACTTGCTTATTTCCTACATTTTCAACATTATATGTAGATCTCACAAGCTTTAATTTTGATCAGAATGCACATGTTTTCTTCCTTGCTTATTTCTCCCAGCACCTGATATGGTGTAGAAGAATAGTGTTTGGGAAAGATTCAACATCCTATACTGTACAGTATTTGGTATAGGCAGGCTTGGAATTTCACAGCTGGTACACTTGTTTTTGTTTTCCTAACCCCCTGTGTGTGGAGTTGCTTCTGAGTTGAATAAAATTGTGGCATCCCTGTAGTGAAAGGGTTAGTGGAGATAGTCTACTAACCCCTTGTGTATGGGGTTGCATATGGGCTGAATAAAATTGTCTGTCTTTGGCCAAATAGAATATTAAAAATGGCAACCCCATTGTGATGTCCTTTGAGTAAAATCTTCCTTTTCACGGTTATTTTGCTCTGCCCCTCGTTCAGTGTTTATGTTGTGCCCTTTTTGTGATTTTCCAGGCCTGTTTACATTATGTGCAAGTACAGTACAGTACAGTAGTGTAAAAGTCCCCTCGTCACCCTAAGTATTTCTGTTGCTGAACCGAGCCACCACGGTGTCACAGGTGAATATGAATCTGGTGATGCTGCTGAAGATGAACAGCCGCCAAGTGCACCAGTTAGATCCGTGAGGGAGATGGCTGCTTCCCTCGCACGTGTGTCCGTCGCCGAGGAGGCCATGGGCAACAAGATGTGTACCTCTCTACCTCGCAACTCCGCCTCTCCGACGACCATCCAAAATAGCGGTACGACAGACTTAGTGCGTCGGTTCAGCCCGTCCTAGTCCAGGGTTGTACGTGATATAGTATTGCTACGGGAATAATTAAATATTCCTATTAGTATTCCTGGTTGGAAATTTTTGTAAATGGGAATAGAATATGTCTGTGATCTGGTGTTGCTTTCCTTATGGTTTAGAGGTATTGTATATCTTGGGGCACTAGACTCTTGTTTAACACATATGAGTACTGTATTTTAACTTATATCACTGATTACTTTCTTGGACTGTAAATGATGGTGCTATTAGTGGTATTGTTTTCTAGTAATGATAAGCTTTTATTGTAATGCATAGAAATTTACAAAGTGATGTAGGGAATATTTTCCTTTAGTTATTTTATTTACTCCTGTCATTCATAATCATTTACATCAATCTTAGTTAAGAGTCTGAGTAATTAGTGGAGTTGCTATCATTATGAATGTTGTTAGAGAAAGATACTGGATGGTGTTACATTTTTGGGGTGTTAGATGCTTTTGGGACAGGATACACACACACACACACACACACACATATAAAGGAATATAAATATATTCATTTAAGTGGTTCAGTATGTAAGGAGTTTATTTAAAAGAGAAAGTTCCCAAGATGATGATAGTTACTTCACAAAGAAAAATGTCTCTTACGTTTCAATGAGCAAAGGTATATTTCTACCTAATCTTTTCTTCTTGTTTTTGTTCTTCTTCCTCATTCTTCTTCTTCTCCAGAGCGAAAATTGAAGGGAAAAGCAGGACCAAAATTGAAGGAGAAATCTGAGAAATCTGAGACAAAAAAAACTGCCGACTTAATTAATGGCATCAGAAAGATTGAGAGGAAAAAGAGACAGAAATTAAAGGTTGATAGAACCGAGTTGTTGTGTGATGGATTGTTTGTCATTTAACCGTGTGGTTTGATCTAGTGGTATTTTTTAACCTCTCAGCTTAGACTCAGGCTCATTATATTGTTATCCATGTTGTTTGTGTTTGTTTGTATTTTAACAGTGGTTTGATTTAGTGGTATTTTTTAATCCCTTGGACCAGACTCATCTGTCTGTTTGTCCATCCCTCGCCATCATTAAATTCATACTTTGGGTTTATCTCACGAACCCTCTGGATGACGACCTTTGACCCACCTCTGAAGGTCATGGGCTGAGGGGCACTTGTTATTCTAAATCATGGTACAGGTACAGGTGTAGTACAGTACAGGTGTTATTGAAGTATTAACCAAATTTGATAAGGTATTTTATATTTTACTGTGGTTAGAAAAATTATTATTGTTTTCTGAAAGATAATTATTTAGGAGAATCTCAGGGATATATATATATATATATATTACAATTAGGTATCAAAGTGTTTTAATAAATGCACTCTTGTTCAGTACAGTGTATGATGGTACAACCTCAGACACTGTTACTGTGGTTGTTAAGACATATCTTTAGGGCAGTGTTCCTCTATTCGTCTGTTGACACACATGTTTTATTCTAGAAATAAGAATGGTGGTCAGATTTTTACTTTTTTTATCGTGTCTCGACTAATTACAGGTATTATCAGTCTTCTCTTGGCATACATAGTAATTTTTTTTATTTGAGAATCCTAAATGATTATTATGTTTTAGGATGTGCAATAAACATGAACCTAAAAATCACTTAGGGTTCCCAAATAAAAAAAAATTACTGTGTCTCGGTGTACAGTAACATGGAGTGAGTCTTGTGCAGTACTATATCGGGGGTTATTGGTGTTTATTAAGATAATTTAATTCTTTGTGGAGTAATACCTTAATGGTGGTGTACATACAGTATTTCTTATTGACCATAAATGGGCTCAGTTTTTTAAATTTAGTTAATTCCTGTAATAAATATGAATTAGTGAAGAGTTCAATCTGACAGTATCCAGTCATTGATGTGGTATAAGAAATCCTCATTAAAAATTGAGCCTAATGAAATATGATTTCTATATATGATTAACTGAATTTTACTTGATATATATGTGACAGGTTAGTAACTACAAATTAATATTTTATCTTATGTCAATAGTGAGGCACTTGTATGCAGGTAAACTTCCATTTCTCTCTATATTTATATATGATTAAAAAGTTCTGCCAATATCTTTTAATTTTATAAGACTTGATTTGGCTGTAGGATGTGAGCATAATCAAAGCACTACAGTACTGGCATGTGTGATTCTTTTGCATGCCAGAGAAGTTGAAGTATTTTGTGCCCTTAATAAGTTACTGTAGATTTTTAATATTATTTGCATGAGAGATTTGAGCAAGGTGCTAGTTATAATCACTTGGATCTTATTATGATTTAATGACAGCAGTTGTGAGTCCTTGTGTTTGTGATGTATGCATAAATTATCATGAAGCTCTTTCTTGTAACACACTTGGCCATGATCATTGTTTTGTGTCCATCATCACGCCTATTGGAGAGACGAGGAAAGATAAGCAGAATGTGTAAGTCAATCTTAAAACACAAACACAGTCTCATCCTCTTTGTGTCTCATTACAACTTAGAAACCTAGATGGACAGTATAGGGTGTCCATACATTATCTGACCCATTTTGAAACCTAGTAACAACAAAAAATATTCTAGATAGAACATAATGCATAAGGGAAAGAAAAAAATATATAAGTTGTTTATCAAGTATATTAAAATTGGTGTACAGTATTCCATTTACAGTATAATGTTTTTTAAGTTAATAAATGTTTAAAATGGGTCCGATTATTTATAGACACCCTATACTGTACACCCGAGGCCATTGAAAAACCAATGAACCTTTTGAAACATTGTGAGACTAAAACACCTCTTAAATTAAATATAGGGTCAGTATACATGTTTGAAGACTGTGGTAGAACAGGGTTTGAGATGTCATATAGGTACGACATTATAAACATGCATCGGCCAATTGGTATTGTAAATAGATATACCTCCTATTACATCCAATAAGTTACATTTTTGCAGGGTGGGTTTCATTGTAGGTCTTGGGACTGATGCACAGATACAACCACTAATTCCACTTAACTTTTCATAGATGTCACTTGTGCAACCATGACCATAGGTGGAAATGAAAGACAATGTTCATGACCAGATCAGTGTATACAAGAAAGAAATGTTTTAGTCTTTTTATTTAGCTCTATGGACTCACTACCGCTTGTTCTGGTACCTTCATAATAAGAGCCAGTTGTAGCTAGCATTTATACAGCACCAAGTTGTAGCAGAGCAGCAAGTACAGTACTTCCTTCACTCTACATTATACAGTAGTACTCTTTATTGTTCTCTCTCACACTTAACACCCTGGATATCTAGAGCCCCTTGGAATGAGAATTATGGTGCTGTACCTTGGAGTGGGTGGTTTCAGATCGGAGTGGGTGGATTAAGATTGGAATGGGTGGTTTAAGGTCGGAATGGGTGGTTTTAGGTCGGAGTGGATGGTTTTAAGGTCACAGAGCCTTCAGCCTTATCCTAAGACCAGACTATCAGGACTTTGAGCCACTAATACTAGGTCCTAATCCTGATAGTAAGGTTAGGTTTAAGATCTATAAGGACTGGGTGGAATTGTGAAGTTTTTCTCTGGCTGGACAATTTATGGTGGATGGAGATGGTCTGCTAGTAGAAGCTATTGTTGTGGGGCTGTATGCCTTCTTATTTACTCTCTATTTTTAGTTAGTATTATTTTCAATTTTTTAATGTGTAGATACTGGTTTTGTAAATTTTTCTTCACTTCTTTTTTATTTCTCTTGCTCTTTTTTTTTTAATTAAGCTTCAAGTAATTTTTAATGTAGTATTTTGAGAGAAGAAGTTAGAGTGTGTGATGGAGATCTAGTGGTAGTGAGTAAATATCATAAGTAGTTCTTTAAAGTACTGTAGTGCAGTGTCTATAGCCTACCTTGACTGTTTTTCCCCTTCCACCTCTTCCACTCTATCTCCCCCTTCTTTCCCTCTCCCTCTTCCCCTCCATCTCTACCCCTTCCCCCTCCATCTCTACCCCTCCCCCCTCCATATCTACCCCTCCCCCTTCATCTCTACCCCTTCCTCCATCTCTACCCCTCCCCCTCCACCTCCCCTCCATCTCTACCCCTCCCCCCTCCATCTCTACCCCTCCCCCCCACCTCCATCTCTACCCCTCCCCACCTCCATCTCTACCTCCCCACCTCCATCTCTACCTCCCCACCTCCATCTCTACCCCTCCCCACCTCCATCTCTACCCCTCCCCACCTCCATCTCTACCCCTCCCCACCTCCATCTCTACCCCTCCCCCTCCCACCCTCCATCTACCCCTCCCCCTCCATCTCCCTTCCATCTCCACCCCTCTCATCTTTCCCTCTCTCTTCCCACTTCAGCAGAACAGGTAGATTTCTGTCCTTCCCTGTCATAATTTCTGTAGTTTGTTTTAAGAAGTAGATTTAACAATACTTTCATATCCTCAGTGTGTTATTATGCCAGGCACTCATTATTATTATTATTATTAAGTTTTGGCTTATTGAGAATCTATTATTTTTGTATTATTATTATTTGATGGTCTGATTACTACACAACAAACACTGTAAATACAGCCCCCCCCCCCACACACACACACACACACTACACCAAAAAAAAAAAACCTCACATCTCAGTTTCTTACCTGACGGGAGATAATTTTTTATCCATGTAAAAGATTTTCCTTGACGAGAGATGAAACAGAAAGCTAAAGTGTAAATTCAATACAATTTTAGTCAACACACACAAGTGGGCCTCTTACACGTATATCCTTGGTCCTCCCGTAGATGGAAAAATTCTATGAACAAACCTTTTGGACTTTTGGAATTTATTTTTATGTTACAACAATAATGAATTCGTAAATGTTTTCTCACATCTCCAATTTAGGGTAACACTTAAAACATGGGAACCTTTAAAGATCTGGGTGTAACTCCACAACACCACCACCACTAACAGTAATGTACCACAACCATTACCAGTCATGCACCACCCTGCTTTAGCCTCACTTGGTGTTGTCACTTCTGCTTTTACTGTTCTAGTTGTCACTGACTGTGCACGTGTATGTGTTTGTGTTATTTGTGTAGGTGTGGCCCCCGAGCTCCTGGTAATCTTCGACAAGCGGCGCTCGACGCTCACAAGCAACCAGCTAGAGGTATACTACATACACCCTGCATGATTTATTCTGCTGTCTTATAATACTTGTGGTGAAGTATTATAGTAACAGTACTATTATAATACTCGCTATGTAGTATTATAACACCCATTTAGGCATTATTATTATTATTTTTTTTTTTTTTTTTTTATAGTACCTGCTATTAGTACCAGCTGTGTACTATCATAATACCAGCTGTGTACTATTATAATACCAGCTATGCATTTTTACAATAATTTTATGCACTCTTATTAGATTTGTTATGTAGCCATTGCCTGAGCCTATCAATTTAATCACTTTAGTTTCTGCAGTAAATATAAAGTCAGTCCTTGCTAAGCTGTTAATACAAGTAGCTGTTTGATGTGTGTGGTAATTATAGTCAAATAAATAATAGTGCTTTTGATAACACAGAGGGTCGTCAACCTCTTGAGTACGATGGCTCAGGTCCTCGTACTCAAGGGGTTAGTTTCTTGTACTCTCTGGAGTTAAACTTTGGGTGTGTGATTGTAATGAATTTCTCTTTTTAAGACATAATTATCAACTTCAAGATAGTCAGTATTATTTTTTAATTCTTTCCCTAGAACCTCATTGGCACTTAACCTACCTCTCTTAAACTGTACTCCTCACCTTACTTGTTTCTTAAAGATGGTGTACCAAGACACTAATTGGCATCATAGGTGTGCTTGGTGGAATTTATTTATTTTTAGATCAGGGAAAATGCAGTCAAGGTAGGCCTAGTAGAGAGAGAGTGCTTTGGAGAGGAAGCTATACAAAAAGTACTTTGGGAATTAGGCCTAGCAGGGAGGTAGGTCTAGAGGAAAGATTTTAGAAAGATAGGCCTAGCAGAGAGGACTTAGGAAGACAATGAAAGGTTAAACAGAAACTTTTGAGATGGAGGGATAACTGCATTGGAGCTTCCATGTCAGTTTAGTGGGTTATAAAACTTAGATTACAAAGATTTAAATACAGTGAACCCTCGAAGATCCGGACTAAAAGGGGGGACCACCTGTCCGGAAAAGCCAATTGTCCGAATTTTCCGGCGAATAATAAATTATATAAGAAACACCAAAAATACAGTACTAATGTAGTGATAAACAAATTACCATATATGAATCATGACTTTACCTGTGATAACATAATAAGAAACATTGTATCATTACTAGAGTGAATGAAATAATATTCCCACAAACAACAATTGTCAACTCTGTTTATGTTTCCCACCTCCTCGGGCACCTGTGTCCAAGCAACTGACGGGTCAAGCAGCGCCCACGGGCCTAAAACGTTCTTTGCTCTGATTTGGGAATGTTTCTTAGGGAAACTTCTAGAGGTTTCTTAGCCCAGAACCCCCCAATTTTTTTTCCGGATCTTCCGAAATCCGGATTTCCCTGGTCCAGATCTTCGAGGGTTTACTGTACAGGGTAAATACAAGTTCACATAGACTCATTACTTAGTTGAGGGTGTGGGATAAGTAAAAATTATTAACAGTACTCCAGGGTTACCAGCAAGTGAAGCCCCATATACAGGATATTGTCTAACCAAGAGAGGGTGAAAGGGTAAAGTGAGGAAGGTTTGTTTTGGTCGTAGGAAATGAAAGTTTAGGTACTGGGGTATTATTATGGTTGTAGGTTAAGTATAGGTGGTGGGGGGCATTATTATGGTTGTAGGTTAAGTATAGGGAGTGAGGGGCATTATTTTGGTTGTAGGTGAAGTATAGGGAGTGAGGGGCATTATTATGGTTGTAGGTTAAGTATAGGGAGTGAGGGGCATTATTTTGGTTGTAGGTGAAGTATAGGGAGTGAGGGGCATTATTATGGTTGTAGGTTAAGTATAGGGAGTGAGGGGCATTATTTTGGTTGTAGGTGATGGAAGTTGGGTATCATTATTCTGGTCACTCACTATCATTTTAATTCGACAGAACTGTGAGTGATGACTAGTGATATAGGCCCTTGTTCCTATAGGCCCAATTGTAACCTAACTTAAGAATGGTTCAGTACGATGGCCTCAAGTGCTAATGGATCTGGAACTTAATGGCTAGGTTAGGTTAGGTTTGCAATAGGTTAGGTTATGACCTCTTAGGATGACAGACCAGTGACCTTTTAGATGAACTTTGACCCGTTTCCCTGATCAACACTTTACAGGTTCTAAATCTTCTCTCGTATCTGTTCTGGAATAAATATATTACCTGTATACCCAAAATTTTATATGTGAGGAAAGTGTGGACTAGAGTGTATTTGGTACCATTGTAAATTTTCTGTCTTTACATCTCAAAACCAATTGGAATTTAATGATTAATGTTATGTAAATTAAGTTGATTTTCTTTTTTTTAAATTTCTCTAAATATTTGTATTGGCTTCCAAAATTAATATGTAAGATTATTTTTTTTTTTTTTAATTTGTCAAGAAATATATCTTTTGACTTTTAAGGTTAACATGTAAGATTATTTTTTTGAGAAAATAAATTAGATGAAAGTATTAGTAATGGATGTTGCTTTAATGCTTTGTATGTGTTGAGAGGAACTGTTTCTGTAACTTTCAGTAAACAGTAGCTACTAAAGGTCGTTGTAGGTGTATACATAATTATTGAGTGTATATAGTTATACCACAACATATTTCTGTATGTACTCGTATACTTAAATACAGATAAACAGTGCAGAATCTAGATTTTAATTATAAGTAATAGTTTTAAGTACTCTAAGTTAAATCTTAAATTCCAAATTATTTATCAATGGAGATCAGACTGTTGAATGTTCTTCCTAATATAAATTCTCTCAAAATATTGAACTTGAATTTCTATTGATGATTTGGTCATTGAGAAAATTTTAGTACAGAGGTACTGTATTATTACTTTATTATCCACAACGAAAATTATATAATAATAGGTTAACCAGTCCAACACTCTATCTCACAACAGGAGCTGGAGGAGACCTGGGTGGACGGTGAACGGGGGGGCGCTGGATCTACCTCAGCCCCGCCGCTACACCGCCAGACCTCACACAAGCACGTTCTCACCACCGACCTTGCTCTTGAGGATGTTGTCAATGTATAGTACAGTACAGTATTTTAAGGATCGAGTCAAGTTTCTGTATAGTGAATTTAAATATTTACATTTGACTGAAGCAACTATTTCCCAAAGCACATTTCTACATAGTGTATTCGTGGACGTCTTCGTGCCGTCGAGAGGTCATAATTCTTATAGAAGTACAGTACAGGGGATTGCTTCTTTGGTATCTTACTCTGTTTTAGATCCAATCTCTGGCAATTGACCTGTTATCAAGCAGCAAAATATTAATACTAAGGAAGTGGTAGGTATTGGTGTTGCATCATGATGGAAAACTTCTTCAGAAGGCTGTGACATGTCTCTACACCACCACACGTTGTATAGAATCTTAGCATATTGTTGATATCTATGGAATACAGAATTATGAAGTAATCAAATATAGTTATACTACAGTTATTTATGGTTATTGAGAGTTGAAGCACTCAATATGACTTGTACATAAAGAAGTGAATGCATTTTCAAGGACATGTAGCTCAATCATTGCATTTAAAGAAGAAAACAAAGAGTCATATTAGATTTGTGTGTTACGGCCGCAATAATCCCTGTTTGACTAGAAGAGCCAGCATTAATAATGAAGTATTTTGTGTGTCAGGTTTAGGTCACTGCCAACATTGGATACTTTTCTTTCTATTTTTGTTCAATAAGTACAACTTGCACAAAATGCTGTGGAGCATGAGCAAGACGAGATTATGTAAAAAGCAAAAAAAAATTGTATGTCACCAAGCTCTCCCGTTCTCTGTGCTAATTTTGCTGACCCCTGCGTTGATAGGGGTCAGTGGTTGCATGTATTCGATGCATGTCATTTCCAGGTTTTATTGTTGCCATCAGATAGATATTTAAATAGTAATGCAAGTGCAATATGTGAGATGTGTAGTCCATGGGAGATTTACATATAAAAGCACCTGTAAATTTGATTTGTTCCAAATTACTTAAAATGAGGATTGTCATGGATTTTGGATTTTGATGGAAGAATTCCAAAGGGGCCCTTTGAGGAGGTCATTGTACCCTATAAAATAAGTTTATTCCATGTTATTGTATAGTACTAAAATATACATGATTGATACCATATTTTTTGCACTCAATTTAATAATTAATTTGCAAATTTTGCTTAATGGAAATTTTTAAATAGTATTAGGAATATGCACAACTACATAACCACTCGCATGGCTATGAACCTCTGTATAGTAAGGTAGGTGTTTTATTTTATATTAATTAGTCGCCACTCATGTACAGAAGCTGTTGGGAGTGGAGGGGGGAGGGAGGGAGGGGAACGGTTATATCTTCCTGGCGGCTTTTTGTCAATTGCTAATGAAGGGAGACTATTGATTACCTTCATCTTGGCTGTATTTCAGGATGCACTGTTTGAGCATTAGTTTTTAGAATATTTCAAGGTTGTTGTGATTAGTGAAATATACTAAGGCAACAAGCATTTCAAAAGAATCTTTTAGTAGATGGATGATTATTGCATTTACTTATACAGTCATTATATATAAATAGAAACTGGTAACATATAAAGTGCACAGCATTAATAGTTCCACATTTTATGAAAAAGTACTTTGTGATATTAGTTTCTGCATACATTTTGTAAGTGAATTTACTGTATATGTATTGCAAAATACCATTGTTATGCTAACTTAAAACCTTTGAATATGGACAGAAGTGTATAAAGTGGGATCGTCCTGCCTGAATATAGATATTGTTAATGAACCACAAGTTGCGTGCTTGCTTGCTCGGTACCAGAAATACAACTTATGTATATCTATTGTTTGTGTGGGAATATGGCAGGAGGAACTTTGTGCCAAGATATAGGGGGAAAGTAATTCTATTTCTGTTAAGGAAAAGAAACATTTTATTTCTAGATGTGTTACTGATGTGATTTTATTGTGTTAATTTTGAAGATTCTTATGATTAGAGGATGTGGTATATCTGTGATGAATTATGCTTGTGTGATTAAATGGTTGACTGACAGTGTGCACAACCATTTTTTAAAGATAGGTTGTCATCAGAGACTCAACATAAAGCAGGACAACCTTTTTAAATTATTAAAGTACTCCTCTGACTTTTTATGTTGGGAGAGAATATTGTGAATAATGTATTTTACTTCTACAATTCTGGATGAGAAATGAATAATTGGAAACAAATTGTAGCTAAGATATTTAAATTAATTTTAAGTGTTTTGTGATGCAAAGGCGTTTTGCATTTAATGCATGCTTAGGCAACTTAGTTACCAGGATCATATTCTTGTTCCTGAGAAGAATCTTGATTGACAATATTTGAGCTTTATACAATCACTGTTTGGACGAGAAATTACAATTGTGTTACCAACAATAGACTTGAAGTGAAATTCCCTTGTGCACTTTTACTTTTTCAAGAAGTTGGTGAGGATATGTCTGATGAGTTGGGGCTTTAATAAGGCAGTACAAAGAGGGCAGTGGCTATGGGTTGTTTCAGAGTGCTCATAAGAGACAATATACTTCTAAAAATCAAAAAAGTATTGTGAATGTTTGTATAGATGAATGTAGGTAGACATAGAAGAAAAAACACTTCAGCTTGAGTACCTTCCTTGAGCCACTGTAGTAGTATTCCTTAAAGAGCCCACCACAGCACCTTCCCTTGACCCTCATGGTGAGCAGCTATTGGACACTCCTCATCTTGCCCTTCACGTTAATGTTTAAGCTTTGTTTTAACCTACGTCATGTAGAGTTTTGTAGTCATCTTCACTTCAGTAATCCATTCAGTTGTAATAATTTGAAGGTGCAGATTAATGTAGATATCTAAATTGATTTCAGTATTTGTAAGGAGTTTTTGTAGCCATTTGATGGCTTTTTTATATTTACACAAAACAATATTTAAGAATGTAGCATCAGTTTTTCACACTCATCTTGTCAGTTATTGTTTGATGTACTATTATAAATGAACTTTAAACTGTACAGTCTACTGCCAGTCTAATAGGTCTGTTGTTAGCCTTTTTTTTATTATTATTATTATTAACTAGCATAATGGCATAAGAATTGTTGTGGTAAGATCATCTTGTTTAGTATGGCCGTAATGTTGTGCTTGTGAGGTGCAGCAGCACAGATTAGGGCCAGGGACATGTAATGGCATTTCTCGTACAGTATTGTGAATTTTGGATTAGGTTACCTGATGTTTAAAATAATAGCTCAGACAATTTGTTGGTGTAATATTCCAAACAATAGTTTATAAAGATTAAACTTGGAAAGAATGTCATAGTACTGGTGTCCCTGTTTGCCTGTATCTTAAGAGCCTGTGCCATGATTAGCTAGCAATGAAACTAATTGTGGTCATTGTGAGTTGTGATAGTATCAAGTTCTCCCATAAGTTCTTTTCCTCCCTCTTTCTTTCTGAAAATTTGACTGGAGAGCCTAATTATGTGACCACAATTTTCGTCACAGTGCGCAATGTTTTACCCTTGCAGTGTAAATATATTACTTGTCATATTTTATATTTTACAATTATTCTACTGCCTTAATAAAACTTATTTCCTATGAATCTGGTTATGATGTCTCCTGGCCATGCAAACACTATTGGCTTTCTCCATGAACACAGTGCAACTTTTAAAGCTACATTTCTTCATGGAAGCTCTAGCGAGGTAAGTTGTTTTGACTTTGATGTTCAGTAGCTAAAAAAAAGTATCTGAGAAGGTGGGTCCGATGACTTCCGAAATACGTACAACTCGTGATGTCTCGGGAGGGTTGGTATCCAACACGGGGCGAGTTGGCATATAGGAATAAAATAAACGTTTAAATGCTTATTATCACATAGTATTTTAAGGAGACAACACGCATATCCCAATACCTTCCACCCATATCACTAACAATCTTTCAATTTCAATTATCAATCCACTTTTTTTTGTTATTACAGTTGACTGCATTGGTATACATCCTTTTATATGTTCAAGAATTTTGTCAGTCTTTCAAAATTGTTCCGATCGTTGGCCCACTAAAGCCCAATGCTCTACTATGACAATGTTTCACCTCTTTTAGAATGTTAAATTACATAAACTCTCACTTCCATTGTAATTGGAAGTGGCTGGGTGACGCTCTGCCACACAAACTAGTTCTCGTATGTTACTCCGAACAATTGTACTCATGTTGGACTTTTAAAATAATATACTTATTGCTCCCTCTGCACATACAGTATTTTCATTTACATCTTGTTTTTGTACATGTTTATTATTAACTTTCTCCCAATACACTTCCAAAACTAGTGCCTAAATATAACGAGCAGAGTTTCCTAAGAAGCTACCATTTTCCACTCAACCAATGAAAGTAAAGATTACACAGAATTCACATTTTCTAACATGGTTTATTATATATATATTCAGTAAACTTTGTATGATACACGATACACTTTTGTTATGAATCCTACGAAAGCTCAAATCCTGAACCAGATGTTATAGCATATAGAAGTTTGTCCCTTAATGTGTGTTCTTTTTTGTATTCGGGAAGTTTGAGGAGGTTCATACACGTGGAGGCAGTAGGAAGGCGATCCTCCGAACCTGAAGGCTGGATACAGAAGGCTGGTTGTAATTCCTAGAAAAGGGAATTTAATTAGTATAATTACAGTGGTTTAAGAGTCATTAGGATAAGTAATTGCCCAGAAGTACATATATTGAAACTTTGAACAAAATCGGTGAGATCAATATTATGGCCTTAACAGTACGGATTTTTAGATCCAAAAGAATTTTTCTCTCAGAATTAGAATTTCTAATGTCTAGGAATACCTTGCTATTCTCAACCCCGCTTATCTGCAATTGATATTTTGACACCCTTATTCGATATTCGCAGTGTACCTTGCTTATTTGCAAGTGAAAACTTAAAATACCCTACAGTAATATTTCAAACCGGGCAGGCTAGCCACAGCTCTCAAATTTTGACAAAAGGTCTATTTCACACACACTCGTGTGAAGCAGGCCTAAGTGTGTGTGGACTTGGCAGGTCATCAACCACCGACACTGCATCATTTTACCTCTTCCCCCTACTAGGCCAAACTTTGAGTTGCATTGTTGTTACTTTTCAACGCCTAATTTTGAGTAGATGTACAGTCCCCTTCATTTAAGCGACTTTCCTTCTGTCAAATGTAAACAAACACAGTGCTGCTACACAAAAACCAACGACCCCCTGATACCCACTAGTGAAGGGGACTGTACCTATTTTTATTAAATTTCTTTTACATGAACAGTCAACAAAAAAAAATTCTGCACCTCTATGGTGTTATACAATATGCCACACGGGACCAAAAATTCTGAACAACACTCATTTACGCGGGTGATTCCCATTAATTTCTCAGTATTAACATATGTGATATAAAAAAATACATCAGACTAGTTATACAATGCATCACAACCAGAAATACCAACCTTACCAAATTGACATGGCTTCGGTTAGTGATCATTGCAAAGGCCATCAGACCTAGGGGTGCAGAACATTTTTTTTGCTGATTGTACACACAATTGTTCATACCGAATGTGCAAAAAAATAAAAGAAATGAGTATTAGTAGGTCAAAAACATAGATACAGTAATCATTTCTAATGTCCGGAGTAGTTAGTGTGTGACCATGAGGGGGGGAGATCACAGAAGTGGGGTGAGGTAGTGATGGTTGGGGGTCACATGAGTGTGGTAATGGTGGCTGGTGGTGGTAATAAGAGGGTGGTGGGTAGTGAGAGGTAGTGGTGGCTGGTGGTTACAGGAGAGTGGTGGTGGCTGGTGGGAATAGGAGTGTGGTGGTGGTGGTGGGTAGTGTGAGTGGCTGGTGGGAATAGGAGTGGTGGTGGCTGGTGGGAATAGGAGTGGTGGTGGCTGGTGGGAATAGGAGTGTGGTGGTGGTGGGTAGTGTGAGTGGGTAGGTGGTGGTCACAGGAGTGATGGCTGGTAGTTACAGGAGTGTGGTGGTGGTGGGTATTGAGAGGTAGTGGTGGCTGGTCAAGGGAGTGTAATGGTGGTGGGCAGTGTGGGGTAGTGGTGGCAGGTGATGACGGTGTGTGGTTGTGGGTAGTGTGTGAGGTAGTGGTGGCAGGTGGTGACGGGTGTGTGGTGGTGGGTAGTGTGAGGTAGTGGTGGCTGGTAGTGACGGGTGTGTGATGGTGGGTAGTGTGAGGTAGTGGTGACGTGTGTGTGGTGGTGGGTAGTGTGAGGTAGTGGTGGCTGGTACGGGTGTGATGGTGGGTAGTGTGAGGTGGTGGTGGGTAGTGTGAAGGTGGGTGGCTGGTAGTGATGTGTGATGGTGGGTAGTGTGAGGTAGTGGTGTGTGTGGTGGTGGGTAGTGTGAGGTAGTGGTGGTCATGGGGAGTGTGGTGGTGGGTACTGTGAGGTAGTGGTGGCTGGTGGTCACAATAGTGTGGTGGTGGCGGCAGGTGGTCACGGGTGTGTGGTTGTGGTGGGTAGTGTGAGGTGAGTGGTGGCTGGTGGTGGTGGGTAGTGTGAGGTAGTGGTGGCTGGTGGTGGTGGGTAGTGTGAGGTAGTGGTGGCTAGTGTGAGGTAGTGGTGGCTGGTGGTCACAGGAGTGTGGTGGTGGGTGGTGGTCATGGAAGTGTGGTGGTGGGTAGTGGTGATCACGGGTGTGTGGTTGTGGTGGGTAGTGTGAGGTAGTGGTGGCTGGTGGCCACTGGAGTGTGGCGGTGAGTGGTGGTGGGGGTGAGTAGTTGTTGCTGTTGGTAGTGGTGAGTGTTGTTGTTTATGATGTTGGTGGTGGAAGTTAAGTGTTCTTGGTGGTGTTGGTGAAGTGACCTACCTGCGGGCATGTTGTCGGTTGATTATTGTTATTTTTCAAATCATATTTTCGTGTAGATATACGAAAATAATATTTACTATCATGCACACACAATCTTCATACTGTTTATACATCATATAAATTACAGTACTGTACCTCATTACCCTAAGAAATGCAGTAAAACCATTATGCTGTACAGTATATGGAACAATTTAATAAAATCATAAATATTTACTACCTCCATTGATATTACTGACCCTCGACTCTATGTAACATTTACCTTAAATCCCAGTAGTGGTGGACGTGAGCAACTGGTTACAAATTTGAGTAGCTGCCGTTTCTGAGTCTCGTCAAATCCTCGTATAACTTGCCAAAATGCTTGTATTGTTGGATGATCAGTATTGTATGTACCTGATTATTGACAAAATGTGTTGTAAAATCATAAAATCATTGTGGTGGGGTGGAAGTGTCCCAAAAGCCCTGCAATAACACAAAACCCTTGTTGAGCTATTTTGAAAAATTATTTATATCTAACAGACCATTAGGACAGGACAAAGAGGTTAAAACACATTATAAGAAATGTGAGGTATTATTTATACCAAAGATGAGAACAAGTTAAAGAAATGAATAAACTATCGTAGTACTTTATTTTTCATTCATTTCTAGCTCAAGGAACTACCAGTACTTTCATGAATTAATGAATTTTATCCTTACGTCTGTATGGTACTTATATTTATAGTTCTGTAAAAAAAATTCTGACCTACTTATTCATCCTGTTTTAAGTATGGGAAGGAAAAAATATGCCTCGACTGTATTACATCACAACTTTGAATACCACACGATAAAGTGAAGACGAATACCCTTTTCACATACAGTAATACCCTGTACCCCGTTGAACATTCAGGACGTATTCCCAACGAACTGATTTTTTAGTGGATCAACTTTTAGTGGGAGTCATTGTAATGTACTCGATATGGAGATTCTTTCCAAACAATGAGTGATGCATGATGGCTTAATTTGTCTCCTGGTGCACAAAGATAAACAAGTAAAAAATAAGTATAAAGTATATGCAAACAATACACAATAATACCACTTCTCATAATTGTTGTGAGGGAGGATCGGTGAGGCTGCAAGAATGCTGTCATCAGGCAATACAGTCTCTCCTCGACTTACGACAGGGTTCCATCCCGACGACCAGGTCGTAAGTCGAAAAGGCATAGAAATTCTAAAATGGGTGTCTCTTTTTCTTCTCAGCACCACAAGAACTCTCACTTACGCTTGCCAGCCATTTTAAAGGGAATTACAAACGAAAATTTTGTCAGTACACAGTGCAATCACTAACGTCGGGACTCGAAAATACGTAATATGAAAAATATTTTATACGACCATGGCCGTTGTATGTCCGGGTTGTCGTAAGTCGAGGAGAGACTGTAATGGCTAACTCACGCAATGGAGGGAGGGAGGAAAGACGACGCTTAACCTAGCCGCGGCAGTTACATCCCTCCAGGCCACACCATGTATACGTGATTCCATTGTTCTGTAAAATGGCTTCCACCGGACCACCGTCCCCAGAGAGAAACCTTTCCTTACCTGGACCCAGCCGCACGACGTTCCTTAAGCTACAAAATTAAGTATAAGATCATACAAAAGTTGGAGAAAGGAACAAGACAGGTTGATCTCGCACGCCAGCATGGTGTTATCGAGTCTACGATCAGGACAATTAAGAAGGATGCAGCCAAGATATAGGAGCACATGAACATTACAAAGTCTACAGGTGCTTCTATGATCAAGTATTTCCACAACCAGGTGCTTCTCAACACGGAAAAATTACTTGTGAGCTACTTGGTGCGTCAGGCGCGACGGAACATGGCGGTGGACACGCGCTCAGTACGCACGTGAACTGTATGCTGCAGTGTCACGAAAGATGGGAATTACAGAGCCCAAACCCTTTAATGCTTCCTCTGGGTAGTTGCAGAGGTTTAAGAAGAGGAACAAGATCACCAATATTAACATTGGTGGTGAAGAAGCTGGTGCTGACCGTGTTGCGGCTAGGGAATTTCCTCCGTTTTTACGTGAGATTATGGAGGAAGGACAGTACACCGACGACCAGGTGTTTAACATGGACGAATCTGGTCTTTTTTGGAAAAAGCTGCCTTCCAAGACCTTCGTTGTGAAGAATGCCAGTAAGATTCGGGGCCGGAAGTTGCAGAAGGAGCGCATCACCGTCCTGTTTACCACCAATGCCTCCGGTACCTGTAAGCTCAAGTTATCGGTGATCCACACAGCACGCAAGCCGCACACCTACAAGAGCATGGACATGACCAAGCTAAATGTCCACTGGCTGACCGCACGTAAGGCGTGGATGTTCTCTACACTGTACCTCTCCTGGTTTGATGACTGTTTCGTTCCCGATGTGAAGAAATTCTGTGAGCAACAGAATGTGCCATTCAAGATTTTGTTGCTGCTGGACAACGCACCAGGACACTCGCCCCTACTGTTAGATCGTCACCCCAACGTAAAAGTGGTCTTCCTTCCTCCCAACACTATGTCTATATTACAGCCCATGGACCAAGAGTTAATCTGTAATGTAAAAGCTGCATTCTCAACTAAAAAATTCAAGCTCCTGAACGACTACACCAACACCAGGGAAGAGTTGCGTAACCTGAGTGACACCACCACCGATAGCAAGAGCGAAGACGACGAGGATCAACAGTTGGCAGAGCAAAAAATACATTTCAAACAATTCTGGAGAATATTCAACATCAAGAAAGCTGTGGACTTCTTGGTGGAGGCATGGGATCAGCTGTCTGTAGCAAGTGTTCGTCACGCATGGAGACATGTGTTGCAAGGCATTCCGGCCGTTAGGCAGAGTCAATCTGTGACTGGTGAGGTTCAGACTGTTGCAGTAGCAGTGGACCTTGCCAGAGAAGCTGCGCAGAGTGTTACAGCTGCAGGCTTCTCTGAGACCACCAACGACGACATCCTGGAAGTGATAAGGGATCCTGATGTGACTACCGACGACATGGTAGATTATGATGACGTCAGTGAAGAGGCAGGTGGTGCGTCATCCCAAGAAGAACGCCACTTATCCCATAGTAATGTTAGGGGTGCCATCGAGTGTATCGAGAAAGCCAAGCTCCTCCTTTCCGACGACCCTGACGCAAACAGGTATGAAATCTTCACTACCCAGCTGTTGCAGACTATGGAGCCCTACATCAAGGTTTATCAGGACAACATAAACACCAGCCGTCAGCAAAGCATAACAGAGTTCTTCGCCCGCAACCCACCACAGCCAGCCCAAGCCAGTGATAGTGACAGAGGTAGAGACAGTGATGATGACTTTGAGGGATTTGTCAGGGAGGCCCTGACAAGTGTGGATGACAGTGATGGTGACTCACCTGAGGGCCAGTAGCCTGCCCTCTGCCTCGGAACCAGCCTCCATTCCCGTACGCCGACCCATCTCTTCTACTAACGAAAGTGTTAACCCCAACCTTGTTTTTTTCTAACCTAACCTTCAGTTTATTGACTGTTCCCTTCTATATTATGTGTGGGTGAATACCATCATAAAGTTAAGATGTTATTTTTAGTAAAACGTACGTATTGTGTCGGGAAAAAGTGGAGTTTGGGGGTTCTGCCCGGTCTCTATTTCAATTAATCCCATATGTTATGTTGTTCACTTTACGCGGGCCGCCGTGGGTTGAATTAACCACGTAAAGTGAGGGTTCACTGTACTGTAAAATGAAACAAACATTACACTTAAGCATTATTACTACAAGTATCCCCTGCCTGGTGTCTCAACAGATAGGCCACAAGGGTTGAAAGTATAAAAGGAAAAACTGTAGAGGTAAATATATACAGTACAGTACTGTATGTAGATCTAATGTCTAAGTGGGGGAGAAAAGAAGAAAAAAATGTATACCTTTTGGTTTGGTATACAAATAAATACAGTTCAGGTGAACTAATAATAAAAACTTATCAGATACAGTACCTCCATATTTGGTATTATCCATGAGATCTAACAAGTCAATAGGGACTGAAGCTCCAGATATAAGCATCTGTAGTTCCCTCCAGTCAAACATCTGCAGCCACTCTAGTGGCACAACGTCAGCCACTCCTGTGAAAAGAGACAGTATGAAAAGGTCATGTGCCGGACTGAAATTCCTTGTCGACAACACAGCAGCTACTGTACAAGAAACTGCTGAATAACCAAGTAACTGTTGGACAGATTGGATCACAAAACAGTGAGTACTGTAAGGTAGACAGTTATTTTATGGTTAAATACAGTATGAATGGATCAATAAACCCTGGTCCAATAATTTATACATTGTACTGTATATGTCATTTCTATATTGTCCTGAGAATGGTTGGCCATTATAACTTAATTTAATTTACAACCAAAAATATTACATATTGGTACCTTTCTTGAAAGCCTGACTTTGCTTTGCTATTTGTTTGTTAAGTTTGTAGTCCGCCATCCGATAGATGTACTCAATACGATTTTCATTTGTCACTGCTACGTTGGCACCATTTGGAACTAACTCTTCAATCTGAAAAAAAGATCAAATACATATTTTCAACTTACTCATACAAACTCTACTCTAATTTCTCTTGTAACACAAATTCCAAGCATATTAAATGTACCGTAAATTTGGCTAAACAAAATTCAATATAAATACAAATATCAGTACAGTAAATGTATAGTAATTCATCCATTACAAGAACATGAATCTAATCCCCTTATTAAGTCAAGACTTACATAAAAATATCTTTATTATACTTTAAATCTCTGTGAATGTTATTTTTGTCTATGAACCACATATTGGATATAAAAAATCTTTATATAACAATAATCTGTACACAGTTAATGTACTTCATATCCCCATTCAAAACACAAAAAACTTACAGTGTTCTGGCCCAAGTCAGAGTTTAAGACAGTAAAATCTAGCCCAAGGTCTAGAACATCTCCTTGGTAAGTCTTGAGGTATAGCAGGTTACGACAAAGCTCTGGGTCTAGGGAGTCCAGGTGGTGGAATTCAACTGATGATGATGATCGCCCAAGGAGCTTGGATACAAAAAACCCAGCCAACGGAACCTCCACCAGCAGGTTCTCATATAAGGCCTGTGTACACAATTTTAATTAGAGGCAATTTCTTTATAGATGTGAGTATAAATTTCTCTGAAAATATAGCTATTGCAAAAGGCAATATAATTGGCACCATAATGCACTTTGTGACAGAACACTCCTCCAGTGTATGACACAGAAGTGTCTACAATTCATGATCACTATAGCACAGATTTTGTTGTTTACATTTTTTCTAAGTTATTTTGCTACTTGTTTTAAGATACTGTACATGGTGTCTGACTCGCTGGTTGCTCCAGTTTCGCTAATTTAACTTTTTTATGAACTGATTTCTTTAACTTATTTATGTTTGGTGTAACACATCCTGATGACTGGCTTCAATCCCCTGACAAATGTTTGACTTGATGTCATCAATGGTGTGAGGCTTATTATGGAGAACCTTTCTTTAAATTAGCTACCAGGGAGTGAATCACCCTGTATATTAATACACCATTCAAAAGAAAATTCAGTAAAACTACCCACCTTCCCTAACATTCGTCCAATGAAGTAATAGTGTGTTTGATAGTCCTCAGCTATGTGGTGAGCTCCAGGATTTGGGTAGAGAGTATTTTCTCGAGTCAAGAGAAAGAACCCTCGAGTAGGGTCGAAGGCGGTCTTCAGCAACTCGGACAAAAACTCCCGGAAGATTCCTCCTCCGTCTATCCCGACTTCGTCTAGGCCGACAGCGTTCATGAGACGGACTCTCATGCGCAAACGCAGATTTGGTTCTAAAGGAATAAAAAGTTCTGTCAGTCTCTTCATGTCCTGCTGTTCTGTGGTTCAACCAAATTGTTTCCATTTGTTCGTCAAACATTGTATAAATAATAACTAAATCTCAATATGTATTATATAAAAAAAAAAACTGAAAAAAAAGAGCGCCTTGCGCAAAGAAGCTGCCTGGCTAATGAGTGGTAAACAACAGTCGGAGCTTGGCGGGCCTTATGTTTTCACGCATCTGGAACAGGAACAGGAGAAAAACTTTCTCAAGATTCTTACAGCATTTTTGCATCCCTATTCAACATGAGCAAGAGAGCCAATAGAAAGTGTATAAGCTTAGCCGAGAAACTAGATGTGTTAAAACGATATGAAAAAGGTGAGAGGTTTTCGGATATTATATGGAGCAAGCAATGAACATATTTTCTGAAGTGGATCCATTAACAGAACAAAGCATTAAACTTTAAATAAATGCAAATGACCTCTACATAAAGATGTATAATGAGAAAAAAAAAAGCAGCTGTGCAAGGTTCTTTCGACAGCTTTATTATTCGAAGGCCTGAACCATCAACTTCAGCTACACCATCAAATTTAGCATCATAAGCAGCTTCAACATCAACTTCAGTTTCAGCAACAACTTTATGGAAAGCTACAGCTTCAGCCAGAGTTGAACCTGATGACTTCGTCATCTGAGCAAAAACCCGCACAATATTCATTGGCTGTCTTTGTGTTTTCGACTTTACCACCATTGGTGAGTAGAATTTTTGTTTTACATTCATAAATATTATTTAAAACATATATGAACAGTAAATAAGTGTTGCTTTCATATTCATATGTAGAGAAATGATGGTATGTTTTCACATGTACGCACTTACTGTTCATACGTTGGCGTTCCCAATCGCCTCGCCTTATTTCTTTACCATTAGTGGTTAGCTTCTTCTAGTGTTCCATTTATTAACATTAAATAACATTACTGAAAACATACATACAGTTATTCATTTTTTTTTAAATTAAGTTCACTACAGCTACAACCAGGGTCTTATTTTCTTCAGTTTCTTATGTAGAACCATCGTCACTCACGAAAACAATGCCGTTTTCTCTCTTGTGTGTTTTAATATTCTACATATTATTAATGAATTGCATTGTTCATTTCACATATAAAAACATTAATTCAACCAAATACATATTCAGTAATAAACAATAATGAACCTTTTGTACATATTCTTAAGATAAATGACTGTTTCCTTGAGTATGCACGTACTGTATACATTGGCGTTCCACTATCAGTCTGACTTTTTCTTTAATATCAGTGGTTACTTCTACTGTACATTAAATAACATTAATTAAAACATACATATTCTTTACATTAATTTTACTACAGCTACAAGCAGGGTCTTATTTTCTTAATTTTCTCGTGTAGAACTGTCGTTCCAGACTCCCGGCTGTAAACAAACGAAAACTATGGCGTCCCATCTCCTTGTGTGACCATAATATTATTCATTTATGTTGTATAAGGTGCATTCAGAAACATTATTTAAAGAATATAGTTTGCAATTTTCATTAATTGTATTGTTTTTTGGGGGAAAAGACGGTAAAAAGCCAACAAAAGATATGAAAAGGTCACACTTGGGAACTCATCTCATTATTATTGCTTTATTTTAATGGTAATTAATGATTCGCGATACGACGATTCACCTTACACTGCAATATTGGAGGACACATTAATGTCGTTATTCGAGGCTTTACTGTACAGTACACCTAGTGAGCAAGTGTTGTACTACAGCAAATTAAAAGCCATTAACATAGAGAGGCTTTTGCATTTCCTCATCGACAGCAGAACTATTTATAAACCATTTGGGGTTAAGAATAATCAGGGTTGTTATATATCCCAAGCACTAAGTCTCTTTCAGACAAGTCTACACATTTAACTCACCATTACTAGGGGACAATTTGTCAAAAGCATCTTCATAAATATGAGTTCTTCTTATAGATACACTTATCATTGGCCCTTCATTGAAATCTGCACGCATCTGACTCATGCTCCTGTTACTGGCCACCAATGTGCTGAAAACTTGCGTGCGTGACTCGAAGGGAATGACGAACGGGAGTTCCTGTAAAATTGTGGCTCGACGCTGCTCTGTAGTGGACAGTGGGGGACCTTCAGTTTCTGTGAGTAAGAGAATAATCCTTGTGAAAAACTACCCCACGAGTACAAGGAAATGTGGGTCTATGTCTGGATGTCAATTTGCGTTAAGAGAAGGGAATATTAGAGTGATCACAATTACTAAAGTTACTTACTTCACAAATTATTTATGGCACAGTACAATTGAGGCATCTAGCGTAGGAGGGACGAACTCGCCAAATCATAGTTTTGAGTAAACGCACAAAAAAAAGTTTTAGAACTGTAAAATCACAGCGCCATACGAAAACAACGGGGAGTAGAGACGAACTCGCCACTTCCTGTCATCACAGTTGGAAAGATAAAGCCTGGGAAATACCGAAACCATAGAAAACAGATTTTTGGGGGACTGGCGAGTTCATCCCTCCTACGCTAGACACCTCAATTAACATCAGACAAGTTGTATTCTTTTCAAATCCAGAATGTTGGACTTTATTAATATCTCCCTAAAACTAATGCCTTGTAAATAAACTTATCTCTCTAAACTTATGACCTGTAAGTCAATAACTGAGCCAAATCTTAAGATACTCTTGTACAGTGCATTTAGTTAATCTATAGTTGGATTATTATGAAATTGTCAAATAGCCTCGTCCTGGTTTGTAATTGGCCAGTTAAAAAAATTAATAAATAATGAAGTGCTGTAGATTTACTAAAATTTCCTTCCACCAAGGATACTGCCACATTATCCAATCATAAAACCACATGTTATATTGCTGGGCGGGGCCGAGTGTGACATATCCATAATGCAGAGACTATAGTCGAGGTTCACTTACCTAATTCATCTCTTGTGAGCCACCTCTGAGGCATGAACAATCGCCTTTGTCTCCGGCTGGTGCGTGGAACAAAGGATATTGTTTGACAGTTACCTAATGGCAGTGAGACACGCGAACTTAGCCAGTGACCCGTGGGGCAAAACATACGCCTGGTGTCACGTAGGTGAATCTGCCGCAGCACTCCAACACACACCTGAAAGAGCAAGATACAATATTGAATAAAAGTAATTAATGAAGGGAAAGACTGATATGGAAAATAATGTTAGGCCAAGATCAAGGTGATAAATGATGAGTAAACACAGATGATGTGAGAGGGAAGACACAAAAACAAGAGTACAATGCTAGGAACACCAAGAAACATCTTATTACCATCCAACCTTGAAGCCTATAAGAACATGAATATCCCTAAAGTTAACTCCTAACTAAAGGTCGGCGAGAGCTGGCTACCACCTGTTGAACTAAACTGTCTGTAGACTGGTGGACTGACCGCACCACACGACAACAACACAATTTGAAACTGAAAATCCATAATATGGATTTATACACCAAAACAGACAAGAAAAGTATGTGAAACAGCACAACAGTGAGGGTAAAGACCATGTACAGTACGTAAGATACATACCAACAAATGATAAAGAGGAGGAGAAGGAGAAGAGGGAAGTTTGATGATGTCTGGTTGTTATGTGAGGCTGAAACAGACGGAGAAGAGAGTCTGTAGTGTCTGGGATATGAATGTTAAATTTGTAGTAAATTTAAATTGTATTGAATGTGAATTTTGTGCTGAATCATGAATTCAGTTTAAGGAAAATTTGTATTGTTTACCAATTTAAGTGGATGTAAATTTTGAAATGAAAGTAATAAAAAGTGAAATACAGAGCAAATCAAGAAGTTAATTGAATGTAAATATAGTTTTAAAATATATTAATATTGTGTGAACTTTGTAAGAGACTGAGAAGTTAATCATGTGTGAATTTTTTGGCTATACTGTAATAAATAAATTTTCATTATGTTGTGCAGACATTAATCTCAAATTTGGGTGAAAGAAGATATCAAAGGAATACTCCTTGTGTCCAAAAATCTACATAAACATGAGAATAAAATTACAATGCAGTCCCAATTGGTCCTTAACGTGTGAATGAATGTCTGCAAAAAACAGGCCCGGTGCTTCGTCCAGTACAATACCAAGCTCTCTAACCCATCTTGGCAATAAGGCACTCATGATAATATTAACTGACTAATAATTCACTTGACCTCAGCTACCTACAGTGGCATCACAGAAAGACAGGGAACTGTCCTGACAGGTTCTTGGAAATCAGCCACCCGATATTCCTGTACCGATACCTCTTATGACAAGGAGGGCTTAAGACATGCCCAAATGACAAGGAAGAGTTTAGACAGATGCCCAAATGACAAGGAAGAGTTTAGACAGATGCCCAAATGACAAGGAAGAGTTTAGACAGATGCCCAAATGACAAGGAAGAGTTTGGACAGATGCCAAAATGACAAGGAAGAGTTTAGACAGATGCCCAAATGACAAGGAAGAGTTTAGACAGATGCCCAAATGACAAGGAAGAGTTTGGACAGATGCCAAAATGACAAGGAAGAGTTTAGACAGATGCCAAAATGACAAGGAAATTTAGACAGATGCCCAAATGATAAGGAGAGCTTAAAACAGAAGTCTATGGAAGCATATGGAAGAGGCCTATGTGCAGCCAAGGATTATAACAGGCTGTTGTTGATGATATGGTAAAACATGGTGGATATAGAGAGTACAAAGACTATACCTAAAATGCTGTTCTCTACTATACTAAACATCAATATAATTTCAGTGTTTATATGTTGACTGACTAACTAAACCCCCCATAAAAAAAGTAAAACTTATTAATAATTAAATAGAGAGTTCATGGACAATAACTTTAATGTCAAAGTTATGCTCATACTACTCATGACAGTCAAAATAAAAGTAGCTAATTCCCAGCCACCGTCTTACCTTTCAATAGGGTTTCATGTCTTTCACTGTCATATTGTGGAGTAAACTCAAAAATTAATTCAATAGCAAAATCTAAAAAAAAACCAGAGCAATAATGATTTAATATGATTATTAATTCCTGAAACTATTACATTACGGTTGGGATATATCGCAACTTTATATAATGATTTTCTATATCGCGGCTACCAAAATTATCAAAAATTTCCTATATATAGCAATAAATTATTTTATTTCACGACGGAAATCAGCCAGGAAATATTTCAAATGTACTGCCATGGCAAACAAATGCATTATTTGCCCACCAGAGGCACCACCGTGCCTGCTTACTCCTGCATTCACTCTTGCCCGGTCAGTCTTTCTGAGTGAGTGACGAGAAAGCAGCCGACTCTGCTGCAGATTACGTGTTCTTAGGCGAGTGTAAATAGGTTGCTTGTGATGTGAAAAGTGAAGTGAGGATAATGGAAAGCTTAATGGAAAAGATTTAATACTGTAACTAATATTTTTGATTTGTTCGTTTATGATTGTCAAGTGAGGGTGGCAGTGTGGTGTCTGGTGTTCCCAGGATGGTGCGTCAGCTGCCGAGTCTAGTGTTCCCGAGTCTGGTGTTCCTCGATATTGATATTGAAATAGCCAGTTGTTCCCGAGTCTAGTGTTCATTGGCGCCTTAGTTAGTAAGAAGATGAACTCGTTTAGTCATTTTTTTGGCCTCCAGAACCTAAACTTATTTTCCCCATTGATTAAATGTAATTATATATCGAGATTTAATATATAGCAAACATCGTTGGACCCTATCTCGTGATATATGCCGACCCTACTGTAATAAACTGTTTATAAATATCAAAATGTTGTAGAGAAAGTGGTCTAAGTTTGCAAATTGTTTGTTTACAGGTACAGTACTGTAAACATAGAGAGAAGCTACACGTAATGCAATGCTGACAAATCCTGCAGCAGACAAAGTGTACACATAAATCAGTGATCCACACCTTGAAGCAGTGAGCCCACATGGTCTTGTATGATGTGTCAGTAAGTGCTGACATCCTGGTGTCGGGGTGAGCCAGCTCCACTAACCCTACACACACGTCCCTCAGACTCGCCGACATCTTAACGAGCTCTTCCACAGAGAACGGAAACTGGTTTTGGTAGGCCTTGGGATTCCGGTGTCCACCGTTCTCATCTATTGAAGTAACATACAAATGAGTCTTCCCATCCTTACTTTCAACTACATAAGGTTCACATGAAGATTAAACACCCCAGCTTATTTCACCTTATTATTAACCCCCCAACACAGGCCTTACCCCATCAGGTAGCAGTAGACTTACTGTTTAATCAAGAAAAACAGGTTAGGGTTCTTAATCTTCACGTGATCCCCTTGCAAACCAGACTGGGTCTGGCACCATGCACATGTATTCTCAACACAGAAAAACATGACCAAAATCCAGTTATTATGGAGGAAAGTTATTGTAAGTGGGGCTGCCACTGTAGTAGAGAGGTTGCTGAAGTTAAGTGTCAGAGATATAAATACAGTGGTGTACAGTGCATAGTCAATGAAGTTTGCAGTGAAAACATAACCTCTGCTCCACCTTTGGCGGCATACATTGTGAGTGTCATACCATACAACCACTTTTGGCCTTAACTACCTCCACCTCAAGACTCAACTGCCTCATAAGATGTGAACAGTTAATAAGTACAGTACTTTATTATGAACATGTACTATGTGCCTCTATATTTAATTGACAGGTATATTATAGTGCAGTAATAATTTACCATAATCTCACCATGGTCTCCTAAAAACTCTGAATCATGAAGTGTAGAAAGAACAGCCGTGAGTGTAGCACAAAACGTGGCCAGGAGGGGCACCAGGGTGTCGCGTTCATAGGGAGCTAAAGGTGAGCCTCGGGCCAGCACCTGTAACAAGGGAGGTCCTCGCACTCCTGAAAAATGAACCCATCACATTACAAAATATATTTCTGCTAATACAATGGTAGAAAATTGGATCAAGTGTAAATCATCCCAAATAGATTATTTCACCAAGCTTAATCCCCCATGTTGCATTAGGGTGTTAAATTTAAGTTGAAATAGTAATGTGAGAGAGAGGAAAGAAAAGAAAAAAAAGGCCATACATTACTTTCATTTAATGATGAATACAGTATTGTCATATCATAATTTACAACACATTTCTGGATACAGTCATCATTTTACGGTCATTTTCCACACTTGCAAGGGTTAACCACAGTTACCTGACGGCAGCTCTCCATGAAGTATGGTCTCTCTTGTCAGGTTCTTAACTCTAATGTACAGTATTGCTCTAAACAGTGACTCACCAAAAGCTGCAGACATGGTGTTCATACTTCCTGGTAAGGGCGCCCCCTGCTGTAAACTAGACAATACAACCCACATGGCCCGCAGCAGTTGACGCCGCGCCACAACACTGTACAGTAATCTGAAAATTTCACACCATTACATTAGCATTTAATTTTAACTTGCCTAAATGGGAATATAATGCCAATAGTAACAATGTTACTCACTCTGTAAACATCTACTAACTGCCCAACGTTAAGATTATCTCTATGGGAACTAAATGAGTGTAACTGATGTGCTGTTAGTTTGGTTAATTCTGGTTACTCGGGAGTTTCCTGAACTAAATATGATTTTCATTAAACTGTATAATTTTCATTTACTAATCACTGATGAAGGTGTGTATTCCCACCAAAATTCCCAGGCAAGGATAAATGGAATACTGTACTATAAGATAAATTTAAACACCAGCGAAGCAAATGGTAATAAAATTAAAAACAAAACCGTACATGGTAAAACAAGATTAATGCATTTAAAACATAACTAAACAAGGTACAGTTATATTAACTTCATAAATATAAAAGAAAGTAAACAACATGAATCAAAATTGCAGAAGACAACTAACAACAGGTACAGTTGCTTGCACTTATACCTGGTGCAATGTCTGGTGCATTTTGTGAGATGTGGCAACTGTGGAATGCTTGTCTAGTACCCTTAGTCTGGCTACTATTACAACATTCCCAGGAGTTTTAATACAATGTAAACAAACACAGAGTTACCACATCTCACAAAACGCACCAACCACTGTATATAAGTGCAGGCAACTGTACAAACAAACAGTCTGACGAGAACTGTACAGTAATACAGTACCCCCTAATAGTGCGCATGATACAGTATGTTCCTGGAAAACGGAGCGCTATCCGAAGCAGCATGCCATGGGGGTCATTAAACCATTGCACATATGGAGATGTGTTCCTGATTATGTTATTTCTTACCCATGAGATATACAGTATTGTATGTGAAGAGTACAGGTATTAATAAACACAAATTATTACAGCAATTTACCATGAATAATTAATGAAAAATAAATAAACAAAGTACTGTACAATATTGCATCATGAATGAGTCATAGTCGAATGAGAGAGAGAGGCAGCGTGTTGGTGAGACAGTGGGAGGGAGGGAGGTGGGAGGCAGAGGGTATTGTATGGATCAGCTCTGGCTGAAGCTAATCCATCTCTGCATCACCGAAATTATGATTTAGGAAGTGATGATGATGGGGGTGGTGATGATGGAGGTCATGGTGGTGAGGGAGATTGTGGTGAGGTGGTGATGAGTCTATCGGTTTCTTTGGTAACACTGCACCTGCAGCACTGCCAGACACTAATGAACAGGTGATGTCTACCAACAAAATTGAGTGTAAATATAAATGAGCAATGTTGTATCCCTTCAACTTTACATTATATAACATTTTAAAATATGGAGTGAGAAAGGTGGGGGTGATTACTGAGTGGAGGGGAGTGTTAACACGCACCGGGTGTGGTGCCAAGCGCTCCTCAACAGCCGACGGTCAACCCGCCACAACACCCGCCACCAGGCACTTGTGCTTTAGTTAACCACACACAATTTTGTCATAAGAAGAACTACACTTACAATGAAATTATAAAACATTTAATAATCAACTGTAGTCATGGTTCTCACGAAAGTGAGTATAAACAGAGAGAGTTGCTCTAGGTGGGTTGAGAGTGTTCAGGCTCATGACTTTTGACTTATTTTATGGATTTTCATCTCTTTTTTTTTTTTTAAATAAAACTAGAGCTCCAAGATGCAAGGAAGAGTGCTATAATGAAACAGGGTAGTGCTAACCGGGGTATTACTGTACCTGCATTCATGAAACTGGAGAGACGGAACCGTCAGGAGGTGATGCATGAGGCGGGAGAAATGGAGCAGCACTTCCGGAGAAACTTGCCGCTCCACGTGACTCAGTAGCCACCCGACGTGTTCCGTGCTGTTCACCACAGACACACACTCCTCTGCTAGCTGGGGAAGACATGACTGTGTTAGAATGATAGAAGAACAAGGTAAAGGAATGACAGGACAAGTTGTTCATTAAAATATATCTGAAAAAAAAAAACTCACACAAACTCTTCATTCTACTAAGCTTTCAACTACAGTACTCTTTTATTAAATGTTAATCAATTCCTCAGAAGAATGACTGACTCATACCTTACGTAAGACAGGGTCAATTGGTTTGGATGAGTCCATTGAGTTATCATCTTCGTCGTCAGAATCAACATCACTAACATCACCGATGAGATAAGAGGTGGCTCCCCCTAACAGCTCACTAATGGCTTGTAGATAGTTACACAAAGAAGTTGCATTGTTAAATTCTGAAATGTGAGAAGACAAATATGTTTCAATAAATATGTGTAAAAAAAAAAATAAAAAAAATAAATAAAAAAAGGTTCATACATAGACGTAATGATAGGTGCAGCAATGATCTGGATGTTGATGGGAGACTGAGGAAAATGTGAATCCAACACAAAACAATTTAAGATTACAAGAAATATATACAGTAGTGATTTGCCATTATAAAAGAGAACAGCGACTTTTTAAAAATATTTCTGGTGAATAGGGGGGCAGTCTGGAGCACCTTAGAGAGTTCCCCCCCCCCCCAACCTAATTCCAATGTATAGAGGTTCTATTGTAAGCAAAAAAATTAATTATATAAGAAAACAGTTGAATGCTAATAGACAGATAGGTATTTGACCAGGGAAAAACATCTTATGGCTATAAAAATAACAAAACTCTGGAAAACCAGTGAAAAATTATCTTCAGATCCATGGAAGTTAAAATGGATTGAACATAAACAACAGGAGATGACAAATGGTAACTACAATAGAGGGGACAACAAACTAAATATACCATTGGACAGTGCCATATCATCATACTCTACAAAATGGCATATGAAAAATAAGGTTTCCTCAGAGTGAACATACCAGCGCTGGAGTGCACAAGCATGAGAAGCGAGTAGAGTAATGGAGGTGCAGGGCAAGAGTTGAGGAACTTGAGTGAACGGCTTCCCAACACCGCCACTATTCTATCCATGGGCAGCTTGTAGCTGACGTTGGCGGCTAGACAGGGGATGACGAAGTTACATATCTGACTATGGGCAGCCCCACCAAATACATCTTGGCACAGCTCATGTATCACAGAAGTCCTGAAATTCAAAATAAATTACAGTAGAAGAGATAGAGTACTGTACCTTCATAATACAGTATTTGCATTACATGGGAATAACTGTACAATGGCTGTAACCGAAACCTACATTTGTATAGTGTTTGAATCTCAATCAATCAACCAATCAGAGTACCCTCCTCACATCTGAGGGTAGGCTACCACAGTCCTCCACTCCTTATACTGTAAGACATTGTGCTTCCAATAGCCCTCAGTGCAATATATACTATTTACTCTAGTATCAAGTAATTCTGGGGTGGAAACCTTCATACTAATTACAACAGATTTGTTCATGTCATTTTTGTGATGATCTGGTATATACTGTACAGTACTTTTTATTATTATTCCTAAGCCCTGCAATAGGTAAGTTAAGAACACAATTTTGTTTGTCCCAAGAGAACCATTACAGAAAAAAAAATATGCCATGTACTGTACTCACAATAGTGTTGAGTCATTGACAGCAGAAGCAAAGGTAAGTGGCTTCATCAGCAGGTGCAGGAGCGACTCAGCAAGAGGAGTTGGGGGATTCTCTGAAGACTCGTACACCTCGGGGATACGAGAGACTATCAGCTGAACCATTTGTTGATAATAACCTGAAAGGTAAGTAATGAACAGTTAAGACTATTATATACATATAATCTCTATACTTAGTCGAGTGAATCATTTGTTGACAATAACCTGAAACATATACAACTGCATTGATACAATCAGAAACTTATAACATCTGATCTAATTAGTACACAAGATATAAGAATTGTACAGGTACATACAGGACTACACACACAGTACTGTACATGGTTATGTATGTCATGACTTTAAATCCATATGAATAGTTACTGAGAAGCAGAACAGACAAAGTTACTCAGCTCACCGTGGCAACTGGTAAGACAAAGACACATGGAACGTAAATTAGTCCTCCAAGAAGTTTAACCCGAGAAATGTGGCACAGATCCATAAAACCTGATCGTGCAAGTGCGACACACACTTATAGAACGGATGCATTTTAAAACTCATGCGAGGGCTAAGTGCGGTGACTATTATTCCTCCCCAGACCCTCTACCCATCTCTCTCAATCACTCAGTGATCATATCGGGGGTTATCTCAGTAGCCACACAGTCAGTATGGTGGCAGGATGTAGGCCACGCTCGGCAAGTAGGGATGCGTTACCCTCCACCACCAGTGTTACTAGTGTTGGTGAGAGGAAAGTCTGTACAAAGATAAAAATGCCTATAAAGTGTGAACTTGAGCTAATATCTAGTAGTAGTGGTGAAGAAAGTGAAACAGAAGTGCAAAGTGTTAGACGCAAGGTGTGTGTGTGTGTGTGAGAGAGGAGGAAGAAGCCTATGCAGTTAGCTGATCCTCCTATGTGAACCCACGTGGCACACTCCAGAGAATGAAAAAATAAAGCCATTAACTCCCTTCCAAATTTGTTCTCACAGCCGTGGAAACTGATTCAGTGCTGTTATCTCTGTCAGAAGGCCCTATGTGGTATATAGAGTGTGTAGGTGAGGAGAGAGATGTCAGTGATGGAAGTTTCCACGACTTCTCTTGTGATGGGGAGGAGGAAGAACAGCCATGTGATCAACGTGTGGGAGTGATGTTTATATGAAAATATAATAACTACTAAAATACTAGACAGAAACATTGGCCACACATCCTCTCCTCCCCTAAAAGTGACACCTCCACCTCCTCCCTCTACAGTACAGCGCTGTCAACATCTTCCACCACACGCTAATTCATCAAAGAATTTACCACAACCAAACCAATGTAACTGGAGGATTCATAGTTTGGTTGTGGTAGATGTAAAATATTATATATCTTTATTCTATACTGTACAGTACTGATAATTTTATAATTTTTGAAAAAATTTACTCGTGTTTTGCTGCACACGAGGCTTGTCAAGGAAACTGGGTCCTGCAGTTCTCGGGTTAAGTTCAACTAACCTAACCCTTTCATCTCACCTTGATTTGGCCCAATCATATATTCACAATTAACCTTCAAAAACATAACACCTTTACCATTTCATTCATATCTCATTTAAAAAACATAAATGACTATCAGATACCTTAAGAGTCCCCCAAATTAGTACAGTACAATTATCATAACTTCCCTTTCTTACCTCGATTAATCAGGTGTGTGTACAGAGCACACAGGAAGAGTTGTTGGTTAGCATTGGAGAGTTGGCTGGCCCAGCTGTCCGGAGCCATGATGATCTCCAACAGCCGCAGTGGAGAAGCATGAGACACTGTGTTCTCTCCTGATGGACAGACAGATAGATAATTACAGTAATCAGTAAAATTGTCATACAAGATTATATTGAATCTTTATTTTATTCATATGTAAAGTGACGACAAGGCTTAAAAGGAAGGATCACCTGTAGAATCTCCACTCCACCCTATTTCACCGAAAGATCAACCACCCTAACACTATTTGGGGGATGAGGTTAGGTTAAGTTAGCCTCAGGGTGGTTAATCTTTAGGTGAAATAGGGTGGAGTGGTGGTGCTTCATGAGAGCCATAAAGGCTATAACATTCAGCAAGAGTTCATACCATTAGTTGAGTAAGTGACCACTTGTAGAGCCATGTTAGCCAGCCGAGGCAGGAGGTACATCCACCGAGGTAATGACCCATATACCCACTCTGACAGGTGCCGCTGTTCTCGTACTACCAACTGACACACCAAAAGCTGAAAGGTTATCATAATTATTACCCTATTAATATTTAACATGCTGGTGAGTCCATCTGAAATCATCTCTATGGAATTACAGTACGTACAGTATAATATATTATCTAATTGACCTTTAATTGGTGGGTAATGATTCCTCACTCCATCACAGGCACAAAAAATGGAACTCGAGAAATCTAAAACTTCCACAGACGATGGCTGCCACACACACACAAAAGAGCACCAACTACCAACACAAGGTACAATATTATACTCACTAATCTCCCACAGTCTTCTTTAGCATTAAATATTCTAATAAGTAAGGCAATCAATCTTATGGCCGAAGCTTCAGTTATTCCCTGGACTTTGGCCAACGCTAGTTCACTATCACATTGTAGACGAAGATCTCGCTTAGTTCGCTTCTGACTCAACATCCCCCTCGTCCATGATTGTATGGTTAGTACAGCTGCCTCTCTTCTTCTCTGTCGCTGAAATGGTATAACAGTTTTTCACGCTGAATGTATACATGGAACACAGGTACAGCTATGGAGTACAGTATCATATATTTATCTATACTGTACTGTACAGGAAATGCAAGAATCTATCTAATACATGTAGTACAGTACCATACACTTTATTTGCATGTGTATGTATTGTATGTATAACTCAACATTCTCATCCTAATTACTGTATCTTCCATTTCTAACTGGACTCTTTTTAAACATTCAAAACTGTGAAAAAATATCTCATGATATAAGTAGTGTATCACCGTTATGTAAATTAAGTTTGTCTCTACACAACAAACCTCTCGTTCTTCTCTGTCATTTTTCAGTTGGCTGAGGAGCTCCAAGCGCTCTATGTTCCGTGTTCTGCTGGCACCGCCCAACCTCTGCTGCGGCTTCCGGCGATAGTCCCCCTCGAAACTCCACATTATGCCTGATCTAGCATTAACTTCCTGTAAAAAGATAAAAATTGAACATAACAAGGAACTCTATATACAGTATCGATACTTTAACTAGGACTGACGGCATCTTACACAGTAAAATGGAAAAGCAGTAAGTAACATGTTTTCTTCCATAAAATGTTTTTCTAAAGTTGCTCCTACTAACACACAATTACCAATGAATTTACCTGTAATATGGGTAGTGTGAGGGCCATAATTAATCTACCAGTAATATATGTGTAGGGTGAGGACCACAACTGCTCTACCTGTGATATATAAATAGTGTGAAGGCCAAACCTATTAGTATGAAGAGTTTGGGAATTTTAGGTCAAGAGTCAGTAATGCCGTTTGATGTTTACTGATAGAAATTTAAGCTATAAGACGTTGAGGCCAAAATATGAATAGGCCACAGGAGTTTTTAGGCTGAAAGACAATAAGTATGTATAAAAAAATACCAGTACCCTGGTATTTATTGTCTTAAATAAACAAATTATACATGAAAAATATATAATTAAATTTACCAAATTATAGAATTTATTAAAATCAATTACTGAATTGAAATGAATTGAAACAGTTTATTTAGCCAGAAAAACACAGATACAGAGTGGATAATAATAACAATATTAACATGGTTGAGCCAGTTGAGAACCTGAGCTCTCTTTTAGGCACCTGATATATACTATACAGTTATCTCAAGGAAATATTATGTAACATTTAGTAACACCTGGAATAGTACAATAGCATGGTGGTAATAAAAACATCTCATTATGTTACCACGGTTATCACTTCAGTACTTCAAAACCCTGCCCACTCTGTGTGATGAAAATTGCATAAGTTAAGTGAACTCAATAAGTCCAAAAACTATAAATTTACAATGAAAACAGTATAGAGTATTATTAATATTATGTATCTATATTTTGCTCTATCTCCCAATATAAGAATCAACATAATGTTCCGAGAATGGTCACTGAGGCGTCTGCGTCTCTGAGTTTAAGGCCACTTCATTGGACAAAGTACTTGCAAGTAGCACCAATTTATCCTCCAGCATCTGATAATTAAAGTAAAGTAAGGTAAGGTAAGATTAGGTTAGGTTAGGTTAGGTTAGGTTAGGTTAGGTTAGGTTAGGTTAGGTTAGAATTGAGTTGGTTTGGACTTAGGTTAGGTTAGGTTAGATTAGGTTGAATTCTTCCCAATCTTTATGCATTAGAGTAGTGTAAAGGCCATAATTAATCTACCTGTAATATTAGAGTAGCATGATGGCCATAATTAATCTACCTGTAATATAAGTGTAAAGGCCATAATTAATCTACCTGTAATATTAGAGTAGCATGATGGCCATAATTAATCTACCTGTAATATGTAAAGGCCATAATTAATCTACCTGTAATATTAGAGTAGCATAATTAATCTACCTGTAATATTAGAGTAGCATGATGGCCATAATTAATCTACCTGTAATATAAGTGTAAAGGCCATAATTAATCTACCTGTAATATTAGAGTAGCATGATGGCCATAATTAATCTACCTGTAATATAAGAGTAGTGTGAAGGCCATACACACACACAGTACTATTACCAACTATTAATTTACCCCATTATCTATTTTCTCTAATTATTAATATAAATGTTATTCACTTAATATGATGTTAATTAATCCACAAATACATTAACTAAGGTTCATATAGATCATAAGAAAACTTTACCCATTTGTTAAGATAAAGAGGAAACAATCTCTACACCAGTTATCCATCACTTAATATATTCCATCAGTTTCTCCTAAATTAAGGTAAATATATGATAATTACCACCTTTACCTGTTATATACTACTCCAGGCCATATAGTTGAAGGTGTTGATAGGTAATAGGTTGTTAATTAAGGTGAGGAGAGATGACTATGACATGACACAATCACCCTCAGATGGTTGTTGTCATTCTATTACATCTACATCATCAATATACTTCAATGATTTAATAACTAATATATTTATTTTATGTATTTATATATTAAATTAGTGTAATATTAATGATTATGTTAATTATTATTATTTTTTATTATTATCGTAAGTTTGGGTTTAAAACATATTAGTTGTGTAGGAATTATTAATGTTATTCTTTTGTTAAATAATAATAATAAACCGTTTATATATATCTTCTTTTTTTTAAATTGAGTTTTTATAATAATGTTTAGATATTAGTTAATAGAGAACCAGGGTGATCCTCGGCCTCCCCGCCACCACTCAAACACCTCGAGTCTCCTCTTACATTATCTCCTCTATCTCATCTATAGTCTATAACAAACATGTCTATTACTGAGTTAAAGCCAAGACTCACCACTGATATGAAGGTAAGAGAGTTTAATAATGTAATAAGGGAGGTTTGTCTTAATAGGAGATGTGATTGTCTCTTTAAATGTCTTTCTTGGTCTCGGGTTTTATATTAATGGATGTTTTAAAGAGATCAATATTATCTTTTATCATATTTATCTTTTATTTTGATTCAATTGGTCATTTTAATAGATCAGGTCACGAGATTCGCTGGGGAATATTTTTAAGGAAATGTTCTTAAAATATTTTCTTTTATGTCATGAATACAAACATGTTAGGGAGTCATGAATTTTTTTTAATATTCACTTAAAACACAAATTGGTAGGTAGTAGACAGCTATCAATACAGGGAGGAACTACCGCCTGGGAAGATATTGGAGGCATAATGTGTTGTCTAATGGTAGACCCTGCTGTGGGCTCCAAGAATGGTTGAAGACATGGCTGCTGAGATTAAATGTCACAAAGTGTAAGAGGATGAACCTGGGGCGTACCAACGGTAAGGAGGCTTATCATATGTCTCAACGGGATGAAGAAACTGCACTATTTGAGAAGGACCTAGGTGTGTATGTTGACAATGAGCTGAAGTTCTCGGGCCATTGCGAGAAGAAGGTAAATCAGGCAAATAAATTATTGGGTCTTATAAGAAGGTCGTTCAGATATCTAGACGGTCCGTCCCTCGTAACGATCTTCAAGAGTGAAGTGCTTCCCCATCTGGAGTACTGTCACCCCGCATGGTCCCCGAGATATGCTAGGGACTGTCAGTTGATTGAAAATGTTCAAAGGAGGGCCACCAGACTGGTGCCTGCACTTCGGCACCTCAGCTACCCTGAGAGATTGGAGCGCCTGAACTTGCCTAGCTTATACAGTCAGTTCTGCTATAACGCGATAGTTGTGTTCTTGTAAAACATCGTGTTATAGAAATTCGCACAATAGAAATGCTATAACGCGATAGTTGTGTTCTTGTAAAACATCGTGTTATAGAAATTCGCACAATAGAAATAACAGAGCTTATGGAGAAAATAGGGTTAGGTGCAGATTACTCGAAATCGAAAAAAATTTAGTAGTTAGCCTCACACAAAGGATAGCACAGTCTAAATAAATGTTACATTCATATCTAATAATGAAATCATACAGTAAATGTAACACTTTGCCTTGAAAATATATGAATATCACTTGATGTATGTATTAAACAGTTGTGAAGATCTCAATGAAAGAAAATTGTTAATACTGTGTAAACTATCTATACATTAATTACCCTAACTTATCTAACTCAACCTCAATTAACCTAATCTAATTCAACCTAACTTAACCTCTATACAATAATTAATCTAACTCAACCTCTCTTAACCTCTGTATACAATAATTAATCTAACTTAACCTCTCTACAATAATTAGCCTAACCTAAACTATCTGTGCATTTATTATCCTGACCTAACCCAGGCTACTGAAGGTTTATTTCTGGATTGTCAGGTGCTCCCTCTACCTACACATACAGAACAAGGATTGTGATTAAGAACAATATTAACGACCTTTACACATACTTTATTTATTTATTTTATTATATTTTATTTATTTTTTGTAGGTGTCGCGGCATGAAGATCGTAAATGTTTGGGGGTCCTGAATGCCAACAGACAGTCACGCCTCATGTTCACCTCACAGGGAAATCTGAAGCTCCAGCCATCATCTAGAGGCAAGAAAAGGAAGAGGTAAGTGACTACAGACAGAGTTACACGATTATAGTACTGATAGAGAGGGCTCACCTGAAGATTAGCTCCTCCAGCTTATTTCACCCTAATGCTAACCTAATCCCCAAGGTAGTATTTGGGTGTTTAATCATCAGGTGAAATAAGCTATGGGAGCTAATCAACAGGTGATCCTATTTTAGTAGACGTATAGAGTAAAACTGCCATCTTTTGTGTGAAGTGGATCAGGGGAGTAGAAACTTAACCTTGATGAAAGTTGGGGAAATAATAGAAGAGTCGTATAAGATGCGCATAAAATGACAAGAAAGGACTATGACGACCAGTGAAAATACCCACATTTACTCAATACAGGTACTAATATATTTACCTTCTATTTGCTGTGAGAATAAAGGCTTTAAACACAACATTGATTCACACATGGTATTAATTCACTCAGTATAGTTACTAAGAGTTGTGATGTTCATTCTTGTTTACATTAATATTTTTTTTAACCTTAGTTAATTTATATAATAATAATAATGTATGTACTTTTTATCTTCATAAAGTGATGAGAACTGTGGTCCAGCAAAGTTAAAGCGTAAGGATGGAATTTATGAAGATCCAGAGTCTCTTGTCAAGAAACAGAAGACTTTTGTGTCAGTTTGTGTTCAGACAGACCAAGTGCTTGACCCCACCACCAATGTATCACAAGCATCTGACAAATCCAAGGAAGCATCACCTACAGGAGTTGACAAAACCATTAACATGCTAACCAGTGGTAAGTGTGATGACTGTCAGTAAGTATTTATATCTTTGGGAATTATGATTTAATGATAATGACTTGGTAAAAATTTCCTCCTTTTTACCAACTAGACTGATACAAGTAAAGTATGCTGGGCTGGGAGCACCTGAAGATTAGCCCCCAGATTATTTCACCTGATAATTAAACACCCCGATGCTACCTGGGGTGGTGAGGTTAGGTTAGCTGTGTTTAATCTTAAGGTGAAATAAACTGGAGCTAATTTTCAGGCGAGTCATGCATTTTCTACTGTAAAATGATAAAACATTATTTTTACAGCATTACATTGAATTACAGACCAAAATAAACAATATGAATGAAGATATTCTGTTTCAGATACTGCACCACCCGAGTACTGGGAGGCTCTGGCAGAGAAGAGACGTGCGGCCCTGGAGGAAAGCTTGATCGAGAACCAGAGTCTTCATGAGGAAAATAAAACTCTGAAGCATGAGGTTCAACAATTAAAACAAGAAAATAGATTATTAGAGGAGGTGGCTGGTGAAGCTAAACACCTGGCACTGTTAGTAGAGGTAAGTTGATTTACCATTAAATATGTAATACTGTATACTGTAATTCTAAAATCTAAATACAGTACTTGTAACAGGTACTGTACTGTATTTTCAGATTCTTTGTGAAAAGAAAACTGCCACAAGGACCTTGGAATTATCTTGGTGCTGATCAGTACTGTACCTTTAGTTTAATAATGTGTTGTTGTTTTTAGTCTCTGACAGATGAACAAGAATCGGACACCAATACAGATGAGGTGGCAGTCTGATGTACAGTACGTCTGGATGAAGAAAGTGCAGGAGATAAAACAATTAGAAATTACTGGATTGTTTAGTTACATTCTTTTATAGTACAAATTATCAGTTTCTCCTCACTCCCCACTTTCTCATGCAAGTTCTGTGTTCAATCACTGTTAGCCGTGATAGGTGGTACAGTAATACCGGACTAATTCTTGTAAGCCCTGTCCAATACTGGGAGGATTCTGTTAATGAGAATACAGTATCCAGGATTGAGAAGTCTGTTATTGAGAGGGTTTACTGTAACCAATACCTTATTGAGAGGGTTTACTGTATACATTATTTTACATGTACTGTACTGAGAAGGTTTACTGTCTAGTCTTATTCAGTGCTGACTTTGTGTGTGTCATGCCAAAGGGGAGATCATTGTGATGTATGTTTCATTTATTTTAGCACCATGTGTTAGGTAGGTAGCTAGTTATTGATAGAGTGTCTGATGACATTTATGTTTTATCTTTGTACTTTGGATTGAAAACATCCTCTCCAAAATTATTTTATTATTTTGATGAATATTTTTGTATACAGCACTGTACAGTATTCTTTACAAAGACGGTGAACTTCTGATGAAATAAACTGTTTACTGAAATTTTTACTGTTTCCCATTCTATGTTTATACTTCTGTACCAGGTACTGATTTTTATTGAGAAATTCTCAACAGTTCTAATTCATTAATCAGTTTCATGTGTATCTTATTAATACATCTACAATATTTAATTTGATGATTTTCATTACACATTGCCTATCTGAATTTTCTGTTCTCATATCTCTCTTTTGCTGTCCGAAAGTGATACTTATTTATCCAAATCGCACGCCAGGAACGGCCCAGGAGTCAGCTGGAGTGGTCAGTTTTGCCCCGGGTGTATACAATGTTTGGTGCAGGTGAAGTACTCTCTTTATCAGCCTATTTTTGCCATCCTTTTGTGAATCTGAAAACAATAACATCCAAGCATAGTGATGATTCCTCTGTTAACCATTGCCAAGAGACTCCACAAGCCTGTGATAATTGGAACCGAGCATCAGGAACAGGGGAAAGTTCAACATAAAGTAATATACTGTACTGTACCAATTGTATATATTGTACACTCGTAACAAAAAGTATCGGTGCATACTGTAGTGTGAACAATTTGAGACCAGTGACGATAGGTATTGGGAAAGGCGAGTTGTTCCAGCCGTATGTTGGCAGCCCTGTAATCCAGCTGAGCAGCTACTATGGCCTGGTCAAGTGACACAAACCGTTATAAATAAGGTCGGGAAGTGATAAATAGACAGTATGAAATATAAGGAGCTCTCTGTTAACAAAATTATTTGTGATACTTGTGAATATTGCCACATTAATTTATGCTACCAAATAAACCACTCAACCTGGTCGTGGTGCAGCGTGGACGGCCGCTCCGAGACCTGTCGTCTGTAGCACCAGTTTCGAGGTATCGCCGAATCCATCGTGCAGCGGTGTTCCTGTGGACACCAACCCGCCGGCTAATATCTGTGACGCCGAACCCTTCGTTATGAAGGGCAATGATAGCTCCTCGTGTTCCCTCTGAGGATTCCATGTCGTCTGGCCTGTGTAGATCTCTACTGCTTCATAATGCCTCTGTTTTATATCTACGTTCACCGAGACCGAACCCTCGCTCATCATTCAGTCGACACAAAGCAACAATCCGAAAAAAGGAAACAAACACACTGATTGTCAGCCATATGGCAACACCTAGTGGAGGGGGGGGGGGTTATGAGGATACACTTACCAATCTTCCCGACATATCACAGTGTATACCTATCGTTTCGGAACTCGTCGATCTCACCCTGCACCGATACTTTTTGGTGCGAGTGTATCTGTACATACTGTACTTAATTTAGTTAATAATTTTTTTTAGGTACAACTCATTAAATAATGTTGTGGTAATTGTGTAAATCAGGTATGGGCAACCCGCGGCCCGAACCATGTCTTTGTGTGGCCCGCGAATTAATTGAGAAATACTGTATTAAATGTGGCCCGAAGTTCAGGTAGATGCATCCAGTTTATGTTGAGTAAAGCAATATTTATTAAAATAATAATCTTCACACACAATTCATTACTGTTTCATCACCCAAGAGTAAGTAACTACAAAAATGTAACAGTGAAATAAGTATAGTCAACTATAAAATATTTTAACTTGTGTGAGTTTACGACCCAAGTTCGATGCAGTCCGTTTGAGGATTAGCTGCTATGTGGCAGCAGGTCACTTGGGAATTAACTAAGGTTGTGTAAGTCTAAGTGGGGTCATGGGTGGTGGTCACACAGGTCAAAGGTAAAGGTCTCTTCCTTGTTGACAGAATGTCTGTCTCCATAGTACCTGATCCTTCATGCCTGGCTGTCTGTTTTATCTATTATTCTTGTCTGATTAGGTCTCTCCATGGGCATATACTGTAGGTTGTTTCATTGTAGTTCTTCATGCACTAAGATTAACATTGACATTATTCTGGTGGGAGTGTCTCATAAGTAAGAAAAATGCTTAACTGTAGGAAAAATCAATGTATTCACAGACTCACTCATCTTCTGTTAAATGCCAAGAAACATTAACATTTTACTTAAAAATTATTATGAAAATATCGTGAGGTGGACGTGACGATAAACTGTTTCGTTGTCCGTGCTAATACAATATTAACATTACTTTTGGGGTAGGTAGGATATAAAGTTTGGTGGGTTGGCCTGCAGAAAAATACCTAAATTGTAACGTGGCCCATGATGACTCAGGAAAGGTTGCCCATGCCTGGTGTAAATTGCAGGAATAAACCAAAACATAGTAAATATTGCTGCAAAATGTAAAAAAATAAAGAAAATGTTTGGGAATATATATATATATATATATATATATATATATATATATATATATATATATATATATATATATATATATATATATATATATATATATATATATATATATATATTATATAATATAATTAATATTGGGTTTTGTGTTTGGGAACCAAGCCCTATTTTACCCATTTATTATGTCATTCATTACAGTATCTGAAAATTAAATATGTAACCAAATAGTTTTCAAGGAAGAAAACCCATTAGAATAGTGAGGGAAACCTGTACAGTATAAGTACAATATTTCAATTTAAACATCAAAAAAGTTTTTTGTTTTTCAAGTGTTGTTTTATGGTTAAAATAATATAGAAAACTTTACACAGTTTATTGCTGTTTTGTTTTACATTTCTTATGGGTGTTAAACAGTTACAGATACAGTATAAATTATTTTAATATAATATCTGGATAACATGAACATTAGACACTCGGCTTATTTCACCTGATGATTAAATTAACATACTCTAATCTAACCTAACTTTCTCAGGTACTGTACCATTAGGGTCTGATGAAAATAAGCTGGGGTGTCTAATCTTTAGATGATTCCAATATCCTGTACAGAAATATAAAATTACCACTTGAACTTGCACATACAGTAATGCTGTCTTTGGTTCAAGTAAACAAGATGAAGGAAGTTGGTAACACTGAAATATTGGCTTCAGATAAGTTGTCAAGAATAAGTTTTACAAATAACAGATGAAACATAATTTTTCCTACATGAGATGGCTGAAAGAGGCCTCAGGGTGTGCTTTAAGTTTGGGGAACAGCCCTTGGGGGCACTACTGTACAGGTAATTTAATTAGATGCCTTCTGGTTTCTTTTACTGTACTGTATATGTCATCATCAATATCAGTGTTTTATGGCCACTTTCCACGCTACAGTATATATGTACAGTACTTGAAGTATATCCCTATCTTGCCCTCACATTCTTATACAGTCTCTCCTCGACTTACGACGGCCATGATCGTATCAAATATTTTTCACATTACGTATTTTCGAGTCCCGACGTTAATGATCGCGCTGTGTACTGACAAAATTTTCGTTTGTAATTCCCTTTAAAATGGCTGGCAAGCGTAATAGTAAGAGTTCTTGTGGTGCTGAGAAGAAAAAGAGACACCCATTTTAGAATTTCTACGTATTATTTTTGTCTTTTCGACTTACGACCTGGTCGTCAGGACGGAACCCCGTCGTAAGTCGAGGAGAGACTGTATATCCAAGGGTGAAGGTACAGTACTGTACACTGAGGTAACAGACAGATGATGATTGACAAGTTGATAAAACTAACATTGATTATTAATAGGTTAATAACAATTATCAAGTATTAGTAATAGGTTGATAAAATTAACATGGATGATTAGTAGGTTAATAAAATTAACCAGAATAATTAGGGGGTTAATCAAATTAACAATGATTAATTATTAATAAGTTGATAAAATTTACAAGGATTATTAATAAGTTGATACAAATTAGCAAGGCTGATTAACACGTTGATAAAATTAACAAGCATTATTAACCCTCTCGTACATGATGATGCAATTTGTGTCATATTCGTGATAAGACCAACTTCACGGTGATGCGAATCGAATCACCAAACTTTAAAAAATTCGCCAAAAATTGAATTTTAACAGAATTGTGTCAAATTTTGATACGTCGTAGTAGCAAGTAAGTTCTATCAAATAAACTAATTGGCAAATCTCATGGCCCATAGGAAGGGAAGACCGGAACGATAAATGCGCAGTATTATCTCAGCAGTCATATCGTGAGTGAGCCGCGTCCATTTAAATTTCCATAACTCTTGGATTACACTGCTTACGCTACTCCCTGAAATAATTCCTCTATATTTACAGGGAAAGTGTTTAGTTTTCAAAAGTCATTACCGTATCAGGCTATACAATCACGTTATAGTAATGTCTCGAAAAAAGTCTCTGAAAGAGGATGATTTTCTAGACTTGCATGAATTTTATCAGTACCATTCTCTGTTATAGTGTTGGTTACAAGACGCAATATAATTTATATTGATATTAAACATAGGCACAAAAAAAAAAGTTTGAGAATCATTATTTTGGCTATTTTCTCAAGAACTGTTGGTCATATCAGAAATCTGATTACTGTGCTGGAAAGCTCATAAAATTCCTCTTCTAGCAGTGTACATAAACAGTTGGCTAATACAATTTTGAGGTATGAGGTTGTGAACATATCGGTGTGGGTTTTTTTCTCATGTTTATAAGAAGTGACAAAAAATGGCTATATACTTGTATTATTCTTTTTTGGGGGGTTATGTTGCAAATTCTTGAAAATTAAGAATACTGACAGATGAGACGGAAATGAATGCGTGGGCAAAACTACCGACTTGAAACAAAAATAGGTGCTACTACAGCGTGTGGTCTACATGATATTTAGGTTAGGTTAGATAAGCTCGGGTTAGGTTAGGTTAGGTTAGGTTAGATAAGCTCGGGTTAGGTTAGGTTAGGTTAGCTCGGGTTAGGTTAGGTTAGATAAGCTCGGGTTAGTTAGGTTAGGTTACACTAGACCGCATGCTATAGTAGCACCCAAAAATAATACATTAAATCATCTGAGGTATTAGTTATCAGTAATTACACTCGATATATATCTTTCATTAGATATATTTACACTGTATCACATAGAGTAAACATGTGATCAGTAACACATATAAACACTTACATATTTATTAAGGTAAATAGTCTCAGCTGATGATTTGTTTACACTTATATAATTCATTGTTCCTTAAAAATTGAAGATTCTCAGGTAATTTAGGTTAATTTAATTTAATAAACGATTTAAATACATTAATTCAATATATTATACATAAAAAGTCATATACATAAGTTATTAATAGTAGATATTAATGTATTTTTTAATGTATGTGTGAACGGTGAGGGAGGTCGGCCATTGTGTGTTTGTCAATAATCTTCTCCTCTCACCTCTACCCCTTGAGTTATTACCCCTGGCAAGCTCCCTCCTCTTGTGACAACCGCTCTCAAACTCTTCTTGGCTCTAATATAAGGTAAGCTATTGAATTATCTTGATTTAGTTGTTAATATAGTTTGTATAGGGGTAAGAATTGGGGATAAAGTATGAGGTGGTTTATGAGGTTATGAGGTAAAGTATGTAGGTCAGGATAATGTCTTTATTAACACGTATCTTACTTTATAATCTAATAATTTAGTTAATATAGTCCTAATCTATCTTATTCTATAATATTTCTGATGTCTTGGGTCTTGTATCTTGCTATAACTTGAGGTTGAAGTACTAACTCTTGGAGGACCAGTTGAACACAAGGTATATTATATGATATAGGTTAGTTGGTGTTTCTGTTACTCGGTTTACTATGTTTAGGTAGAGTTTGTTTGATAATATGGCTGTTTATTGATTATTTTGTCTTTTTTAAGGTTCATATTGTACATTCCTTGTGTATATATTGTATACTGTTTCCTTCATAGTCTGTACACATGGTTAATCAATGGTATATTTGTATGATTGTTTTACTGAATATCTATTTATCTATATATCCATCCAACTTATACTGCTTATGTACATTGTATCTGTACTGTATGTGTTGACTATACACTGTTTGTATACCTGTACTGTCCATATAAATTGTTTGTATACCTGTACCTGTCTGTGTACATGTTAAGTCACTAATAACTTGTATGGTGATAATATTGAATGATTATCTATCTGTCCATCTGTCTACATACTTGACAGATGTTTGTGAACAGTCCAGTGTGTTGGTTCATTTTGTTGAGGCAAATTCGTCTTGATTTTATAGCATTTCAGTGATTATTTTGACAGCGATAAAGAGCAATATGGTCATTACTCGAGAAGGTTTGTAAACAACATTGCTAGATTATTGAAGCAAACATAACCTAATCTAACCTAAGCTAAACAAAGGTGATACAGTATAACAAATGTACTCAAACTATCCAACCAAGAGCGAACTTGTAGCAATAGTTTTAAATTAGACAAATTTAGATTTAGGCGCGAGATAGGTCAACACTGGTTTGGAAATAGAGTAGTGGATGAGTGGAACAAGTTACCAAACATCATCATTAACTTGAATACGCTGGATAGCTTCAAACACAGGTTGGATGGATATATGAGCGATAGGGGTTGGGTGTAAACGGGACTGCCCAGTATGGCCAATAGTCCTGCTGCAGTTTCCTCCATTCTTATGTTTTAATGTTCTTGTGTTATCTAATCTTATCTAACCTAATTTAACACAACTTACCTACCCTAACCAAACCAAATCTGACCAAACCTAGCTAAACCAAACTAAATCTAACCAAACTTAACCTAACCAACCAAACCTAACGTAACCTGCCATTTCGTGTTTTGGTGGTGTTTAATTATCGGTTGAAATATGCTGAGATTTCTAGTCTTCATGAGATATGTTTATTCTCAATCTCAAGTTGGTAATACAAGCTCTCGTAGAAAAATATTTACAGTCAAGCAGATGACCCCCCCCCCCCCCTTGGAAATGGCCCTAATGTTCTAGTCTCACAATTGCTCTTTATACAGGGCCAGTTTGTGATATTTGTATGGAGCTTGATTGATGATTCTGGATAAATTTAACTTTGTATTAAAAAAGATCCTGATCACCTGAAGGTTAAACCCCCCAGATTATTTCACCTGATTATTAAGTGTCTAATGTTTCCAGGGGGAGTTAGGTTAGGTTAGGTTATGTTATGTTATGTTATGTTATGTTATGTTATGTTATGTTATGTTATGTTATGTTTGGTTTGGTTTGGTTATGTGAGGATGGTTAATCTTCATGTTAATTAGGCTGTACTCTACCGTATTGTACCGTACTGGTCAATTTATATAGTATTTGTTTTTCATTTTACCACTGTTTGTGAGGTTGATCTGTTCTTTGTTACTTAGTTAAGACCTTTACTGTCCAGTATTAGTATAGGAGGAAACCTGAAAACCTGCCTTGTTTGATAGTCATTGAATAACAACCTTCTCATGTAGGTCTTGGGCTGGGGATTGAACCTAGGACACAGTGTAATCAGTTTATAAATATGGCGTCAGAACTGTGAAATAGTGATGCAATATTCATTTTGTCTGCAGTCTTTTCAAAATACTGTAGGGAAGGCAACTGAACCAAACCTAACAATCTTAGATTTTTTTTTTTATTTTTTATTTTTTAGGTTAGGGAAGGCTGGGTAGGTGAGGCTATGATGGTTTTCATGAATCTTCTCAATTAGTGAGACATAAAACAGGGCCGGGGGTGGGGAGGGTGAAAGACCTATCACTCCTTATGTTAAAAAATTACTTGATTCTTTTAATTTATTGTCATTCAGTATTTGTCACCTCTTGGACACATCCAAAGTTTCTTCTGTGTTGCCATCCATTAACTCAGACCAGTGGGACTGGAGACCTACCGTACTGGGTTTAGGAATTTTCTGAATGTAGGAAATATTGTACTAGACCTTGAGTGTATGGTACTCCTATGAAATGTTTAATAAAGTTTGGACAATTTGGGCAAGGGTTAGAGGTTGTGGTTTTTAAAACATGATTAATAATTGTTTATTAAAAAAACAAGTTAAATGTTAATACAAAAGTTGTACTGAATTTCTAAAAAGCTGCCAATTTAGATATGATAAAGTATTTCCATACTGTGGGTCAACATAAAAAAAAAATTCTCATGGTTCTGGATCAAAACAGTCTGATTCTAGTGTAATTGTATGTGCTGAACTCAATTATGACATTCGTATAGCTGTATCAGGCTCAGTTTTCCAGAACCAGCGTATCTATATATTTAGTGTACCATGCTATTCATACAGTAATTTATATGCTCATTGGCTCCACTTATGCAATTATTTTGTCCTGATTTGTGCTTTTTTGTTTGTTTCAGTTTACTGATTCATGATATTGCATATCTACACCTGCATGATTTGTAATTACTCTGAAATTAACAAAACATGGAACGTCGCAAGTGTGTGAACGGTGTTGACAGTTTTTGCTACATATGTGGTGCCTTCACTCCTGGTAGCCTCAAGAAACCAATCACAAAAGCTGTTCGACTAAACTACAAAAGTTACTTCAAATGTCATTTGGGTGACCAAGACAAGAAATGGGCACCTCATGTAGCCTGTAAGTCTTGTGTTAACCACCTGAGCGAGTGGATGTGTGGTAAACAAAGTTCAGGAATGCCGTTTGCTGTACCAATGATATGGCGTGAACCTAAAGAGCACAGTAGTGACTGCTACTTCTGTCTCACAAATATTAAGGGAATAAAAATCAAGACACGAGGCAAGGTACAGTACCCCAATATTGCTTCTGCAATCCGACCAGTACCGCACAGTGCTGAACTTCCAGTCCCAAATCCACCGACTGAACAAGAATTGAGTGATTCCGATTCTACCTCTACCTCAATGGAAAACAACTACCAGGATGACTCTGAAAATACCAGGCCTAAACTATTTACTCAAGAAGCGCTTCATGATCTCATCAGGGACCTAAACTTGTCAAAAGAAAAGGCTGAAGTTTTGGGATCCAGACTAAAGCAGCGTAACCTGCTAGAAGATGGAGTGCATTGGGAGCAAGGATGTCCTTGAAATTGCATTTTTTCCACTCTCATATTGAATTTTTCCCAGGTAACCTTGGAGACGTTAGTGATGAACACGGCGAAAGATTTCATCAAGATATCGCCATAATGGAGAGCAGATATCAGGGACAATTCAGTCCTAACATGATGGGCGACTATTGCTGGACACTGCAACGAGAAGAGAGCAAGCTGTACAAGAGAAAGAGTAAAGTTCAGAAGCACTTTTAGAACTTCATATTTTGTCATTATAAAGGATTTGAACTTATGTTTTTTGGTACAATTTTTTATGAGCTTATCTGTGATAGGTTTAAAATTGTATCTTGCATGACGCGATAATGTTACTATATTTACTATTTTTTTTATTCTTTAAGAAAGTAGGTCTGATGGTAGAATGAAACATCCAATTAATATTCATTAATATGAAATTAGTCATGAAAGCACAGTCACATGAGATAATCTCATCTTTTGCACGACACGTGATGGAATATTAAATATTTGTACCTATTGATTTTTTTATAAAACCTGGTCTGATAGAACAAAACAAATATCAGATTCGAATTCAGCAATATGAAATTAGTTGTGTGAGCATGATCTCATATGTGAACCATTTTGGCTGTTGACCATTGATGCAACATGGAGAGCTGCCACCGGGTAACTGTGGCTAACCCACACAGGTGAGGAAAATGGTTGTAGAATGATGATGATGAGTGATACAATATTACTTATCTCACCCCAGAAACTTCTCAAAGGTTCCCTTCCTAGAGGGAAGAATGCTGACACAGAAGCCAAGTATATCTCATCTTTTCTATTAGGATTTGATGGACACTGACTTAGATTCTAGGCGTACCTGTACAGTACCTCCTTTTGTACTCCCTCGAGAGACATAGAGTGAAGGGAAATATGATCGAGGTGTATAAATGGAAGTCAGGGCTAAACAAAGGCCCTTAAACTATCCAACCAGGAGTGAACACAGAGCAATGGTTTTAAATTAGACAATTTTAGATTTAGGCTCATGATAGGTAAACACTGGTTTGGAAACAGAGTAGTGGATGAGTGGAACACGTTACAAACATCATCATTAACTCAAACACGCTGGGTAGCTTGAAATATACTGTAGGTTAGACAGATATATTAGCGATAGGGGTTGGGTGTAAATGGGACTGTCCA